GTAAAGTAGGCAAAGATTCCTTCTTCCAATATTGTCCTATTAACAACCTAGCGGCTGTAATCAAATTTAACATCAATATAACCTCCTTAGCATCACAGTCAATAACAATACCTAGTAAAAATAATTGCGGAGTAAATTTTACCCTTCTTTTAAAAATTCTTTGAATATTCCACCATATCTTAATCCAAAAAGCTTTTATATGCTTACACGTCCACCAAATATGGTAATAGGTAGCATCCAAATATCCACATCTCCAGCATTTCGGCTGTAGATTAGGGTACATAATGGACATTTTCTTTGGGTCAAGGTGCCATCTATAAAACATCTTATAAAAATTCTCTCTTAAATTTTGCGCTTGTGTGAATTTAACATTTCTTATCCAAATAAGTTCCCAAGTATCCATTGAAATCGTTTCACCAATATTCTGTGCCCATTTAATCATACAATCTTTAACTAGTTCAAGTTCTGAATCTAATTCCACTAAAACCCCATAAACTCTCTTAATATGGGTTGGCCTTTGATCTCTTACTTGTTTTAAAAAAATTCCATCTTCTCTAAGCCAGCCCATTTTACAATCCATCTTCCATCTATCCACTATTTGTCTATATTGGAACCATGAATAAGTTAAGTTTTCATGTGTTAATTCTTCCAAAGATTTTAACTGCCAGTCTTGGCCATCCCATCTTAATAACTGTACGTAAGAGACCTTGTCCATATTTACCCCTTTCCTTATACCTTCTATGGCATGCCGAGGTATAGCCCATAATGGTATTTTGAAGTCACTTTTATAATACTTTCTCCACACTCTTAGCAAAGAGTTTCTTATAATATGAGACTTAAAAACCCAATCCACTTTTTTATTAAATATTAAATAGGCATGCCATCCAAAAAATAGGTCCCAGCCTTCCAAATGAAGTATTTCTGTATTTGTTAAATTCACCCAGTCGCTAATCAATGTCAATACTACAGCATCATAATACAATTTCATATTTGGTACCTTGAGTCCACCTCTCTCACGAAAATCTTGCAGTATTTTAAGTTTCACCCTTGGTTTTTTCCCTGCCCAAACAAATTTATTAATACCTTTTTGCCATTCATCTAAATTACGTTCGTTTTTTAAAATAGGTAACATTTGAAACAAAAAAATAAACTTTGGCAGGACATTCATTTTAATAACTGCAATTCTGCCCATAAGGGATAACTGTAAATTATTCCAGGAATGCCTCTTTTGTTGATAACCTATTTTTGCTCCAGTTTTAAGTCTTCTCATTTCTATTTACTATAACACACAGCTCATATACTGTAGTTTGTTTCTTTGGCTATTTCACAAAACATAAAAATAAGGAAACAAATCCAATGAAATAGCAAAGAAAATTTAAGTTAGTATGATTAAATTCTTTATATTTAACATTTTAAATTAAAGAATTTTCAAACATATTTCAGCAGGCTTTTCGACTAAAGGTCATGGTAAGTCATAGTATAGTTGTGTGGAAGATTACAATAATGCTTATTCATAGCTAAACACATTGTCCAATGTTTGTTCAGCAAATCAGGCTCTCTGGCTTATTCAGTGAAAGAAACCAGAAACAATCCTCTCCTTTCCCTTACCTCCCACTGTTTCCACTTGAATCCCACAACTTGCTAAACTATGAAGAGGTGCTTTACCTTTTATCTAAAAGCAATAAAAATAGTACATATGTATGTATGTGTGTGTGTGTGTGTGTGTGTGTGTACTATATGTATATGTATATGTATATGTATATATGTGTATGTACATGTGTATACACACACATACACACACACACACACACACACACACACACAGCAACTGAGAAAAATTCCACAATAATGAGTAAAACCAAGAAATAGGTCCCTCGGCACATAGCCAGGTTTTTAAAGTGTTTAAAAGGGCCATTCTAATCTCCAAAGGAAGGATGTTCAGAAGAGCAGGAGCTATAGCAGAGAAAATAAATCTTCTGGTCCCAGTGCCATGTGACCCTGCAGCATGCCCAACCTGCTGGACTGAATTGTCTGCTAGGTGTTTAGCAACCCTAAACCCTAAGGAGGGACCAGATCCCCTAAAATAGGGCTACTGGGCGATTGTCTGCAGAACCACAGACACAATAAGGGCATAGAAATATTGTTTCGCTGCTCTTATTGCCACGGACTCTAATAATGTCTCTAGCTTGTGTTCAATAGTCTTTGTTCCTCATCTTTTGCCAGTGGTGGTCTACACATTTCTTAGTCCTTCAACTCTACCATATATATCTAGGATATTTTTTAAATTTCTCAATATAGTTTATACCCCCCAGTATTTCCACAAGGTCTCCCACACAAGTACTAATCAAACCTGATTCCACTTAGCTTCCCAATTCAGATAGTCAGAAAATGCTGCCACCTGCTGAGACAGGTCTCAGCGGATCAACTTTTATTAGAGAAAGGAAATGTGAGCTACTGGCTGGATTCATGCATTGTGCTAATTCATGCATTTAGCTGATTTCAGCAATGTATTCTGAATGTGAACTCAGATACTATTAAATTATAGTTTATAATTATCATGCTGTGCTGGCCCTGCCAGTAAGGCTTATTTAATAAACTCAGGTTAAACAAATGAAAATTTAATGCAATGTATATACAAGGTCACCGAACTTCACATGTAGCAAGATGCCTAATTTAAGATAAAGAAAAGGGTATAAATGGTCCAAAGAGAAGAATTCTAATGCAAAAGGGTTGTTCTGCATACCTCTTCAGCATTAAGGTCAAGATTAAAATGGGAAGATCTGACATTCCACTGGAATCTTAGGGAGCAGTACACTACAAGTAGTCCTTATTTAATGATCACAATGGAGCATATAATTTCCATCAGATGTCACTGTGATCATTAAATGAGTCACCACGTGACCTGACTCAATTTCACAACCATTTTTAGGATGGTCATAAAATGAGCCACCATGGTCATTAAACAAATCATGTGCTCATTAAATGAATCACATGTCGTTAAGCAAATCCATTGTCTTGAATGGACATTTTTTGCCAGAAACCTGAAAAAGTCACAAATTGTGGTCATATTGCACGCTGCAATCAGTCATAAATGGAAGCCAGCTGTCAAGTGCCCCAAATCACGTGATCATGGGGTGTTTGTGTGCAGTAGTTGTAACTTTGAAGTTAAATTGTAAGCAATGTTTCTGATGCTGTCATAACTTTAATGGTTATTAAACAATTAGTAATTAAGAGGGCTAGCTGTCTAAGTAGAAAACTCAGCAAGTTACAGAATGATGATAAAACATAAGTAGCAGCAATTTCCCAAATCTTTCCTTCAATGCAACTTGAGGAAGGTGGCTGTTAATTTTGTAGGCAGAAGTTCCTTTACAGAGAAGGAAAAGAAAAGATTCTATATGTTGAGGAAACCTCAACATCTGCAAAAGTAAAAAGAAGTCAACTCTTTATCCATACACACAAAGAAAAAGAACAGCCAGAGAGTCCTCTGCAAAGAAACAAAAGGAGATAATTGCTGTATACAACTTCCTTGTCCTCATTATAATGACTGAAACCAATTACCCTATGTGTTTACGGAAGAATGAAGGAGTCAGAAAAGTCTACAAGCAGGTAGATGAAAAAGCGTTCTTGTGACTTTCATTCATTTCACTATTATGAGCAATAAATGTTCAGATGATTTTCTCTTACAATGTGTGTGGCTCAGTTCAAGTCACTCACCCATGGGAATTTCTTTGCATCTATTTCATTTATAAAATTTATATTTGTCATCCACCAGGAGCTTGGGGAGGGGGAAACTATTTCCTTTTATCCCAACAAGTATTGTGAGATAGTTGGCCTGAGAAAACAATTGGCCAAATAATTTAATGACCTTTCCATGACTGAGCATGGGCTTGAATCTGGATGTTCCCACTGCTAATCCAATATTTTACACTCAATTTTAATTGTTAACTGGCAGTATTTGAAACACCTGATTGGTTTGTATAAAGAAAGGATACACATGCTCAGAGTCAAATACCTTTTGTGGCTAAAGAAGGCATAAAAATTGCAGAAGTGAGGGCAATACTAAAAGTCTCAAACATGATAAGCACATATCCATCATTCAACAAAAATTAAATATAAAATATAAAAATAATTAAAATAAATTAAAAAACAAAAAACAAACTCAATGGACCACTAGATCTTTTTCTGCCATCAGTTTTCTATGTTTCTATGTGGTAGTAATCAAAGACAACCTACTGAAAAGACTTAGCTTTGTGACTGAACTCTATATGCCATGCCTAAAAAGAATCAGCAAAGTTACCAGTAGAGTTAAACTATGACAGCTACTGGATCCTAACTCTCTTTTGTCCCTATATCCTAGGAAGAAGACTCAGCTTGTAATTCATGGATATCATAGAGTCAAAATTATAGAATTCTTTGTCATGCACATATTCCATTTTCAAAAGATAGTAGAGAAAATATTACATGGCCATATAGTGAAAGCACATCTGTGTGCAAAAGGATTATTCACAAGCTTAAAGCTTCAAAAGCATCTTCTTGGCAAGCATAAAATAATAATAATAAATGGATATCACAGAGGAATCTTTACTGAGTCACGGCTCTGAAATGATCCACGAGGTGGGCAGATGGAGACACTCCAAATACCGTCTGTGCCATAACCCCAAATTTTCAACCAGAAATAGGCCTCCTTTATTCCAAATAGCGGGCCTTCGTCCAAGGTGGACTACAGTTCCCATCAGCCTCACTCATCTCTCCATTCGGGTTAGCGGCAATGGGAGCTGTGGGCTAATTCATCCGGTGAGTGGAGGAAAGAGAAGCACTGACAGGGCACGGCTGCTTCCCGCAGGAAAGAAACTGCGCCGCCGCTGAGCTATCCAAGCACCGCGTGTCTCTCCCGAGGGATACCTCCCATCGCCCTCCAACAGCCCAGGGCATCTCCTTCCCCGCAACCCCAGCAGCTCTTTCCCTCCTTCGGAAAAACCCGCGGAAGCCCACCGTCTCACCTTGTACTTATCAAAGCCGGCGAGTTGCTCGGCGTTCACGTACTCATAACTGGCCATGGTTAGTAGCGACATCAGACGGATCCGCTGTGCAGAAAAGGGCCCAGTCCGTATCGCCTACCTTTCCCACGCGACGCTATTACAGGGAGCAGGAGCAGCGCCCGCAGATAGACTCTGTACGCTCGTCCCGCCCGGCTTCGAGAATAACAGGGGAAGAGGAGGAAACCCCCCCTCCCCGCTCCAACCCCTCGCCGGATTCCGTACTTCGCTGCTCCTCCTCCCGCGTGGCTGCTCCAGATCAGCCCATCCGTGACGTCACCGAACGCCTCTTTGCCCGCCCACTTTCCCCTTTTGGCGTGCCGCCATCTTGGATGAAGCTGAGCCCCTGGGATTGGTTCTGTCTCTGCCTCTGTGATTCAGAGGTCATTCCCCTTCTCGCCTGCTCTGCTTCTTGAAAAACAGCTTGCTTTCAGGGTACCGCTGGGATTTGAAAATTATTTAGTGGGCGGTTTATATCATAGAATCATAGCTCTGGAAGGGACCTTCAGAGTGTTGTCTTTATTCCTCGAATTCATTGCAACTGAATATATTCCTGTTCTTTTTCTATCCCTCCCCCGTTTCTTCATTCAGTTCATGATAGCCTCTTCCCTACTTGCTCTGCGTAGAGCATCCAATTGGTCTACCAAACGCTACTGTATGCGGATTTGATGATACGTTAATAAGAGCATGGGACCGATTTTTTTATGTTTTGCAGTAATTAAAGCTACTTCAATTTCTTTTATAACAGGTGAGGGAAGTTAGCCCAGAGAAAGAAATATTAAAAAGGGCAGAAAAATATATTTTTCCTCAAAAGGACTTTTTAAAACCAAACCTGGCCCCAAATCTACCTCTCTGCCCCAAGCAAGAGCTAGGCCCATACAAATGCAGATGTAAAACCATCAGAAAGTTGGAGCCAGAGTAATCAAGAAGACAAAAGAGAAGATCTGCATACCCCACCCAAACTCTAGGAGTCAGCCCCATCACTTGGGAAACAGGATATGATAACAGAATTAAACCACAGATATCAAGGCCTAGACAAACACTCAGAAACAGCCTCAAGGGTCATGCCACAGGAACAGGAAACTATTCCAAACAAGGCTAGAGAGGGTATAAAAAACCTAACTGTCCATGTGCTCTCTCTCTTTCCTCCTTTCTGCAAGGACCATCTTTCTGCTTCTTCAATAAACTGTAACCTTTTTCCCAAAGCAGTCTCCATGTTGCCTATTTATTCCCAGCTTGGATGAACCAGGATGAAGACTTCTCACACTTTTTTTTACTGAAAAGATGACTTTATAATGAACTGGTAACTAACTGCACAAGTTGGCTTCACAAAATGTGCTATCCTATCAGTTGACTTGTGGCTCAGTTTATCCTGTGACTTGAGTCCAACTTTCTGCATAGATGGTGGGGCTAAAATTGGGGGTAAAATTGCTAGAGAAAAAGTAAGTCTAACAATCCAATTCTGCTGCTTGTACTGGTCCTGTACTCTTCAACAGCTTCATAAACAATATGGGAGGGGGAATAAAAGATGAATTTATCTAATTTGCAGACAATACCAAGCTGGCAGGAATAATCAACACTTTACAAGATAGGCTCAAGATACAGAAGGATCTTGACAGAATTGAACACAGGTTTTACACTTAGGCAGGAACAATAAAATGCACAGGTATAGAATAGGTAGTACTTGGCTCAGTGGTAGTGACTGAGAAGGATCTAGGTGTCCTAGTGGACAATCACTTAAATATGAGCCAGCAATGTGCTACAGCTGCCAAAAAAGCCAATGTAGTCCTAGGCTGCATCAACAGAGGAACAGTATAAAAAATCAGTGAAGTGACAGCACCGCTTTATACTGCACTGGTAAGACCACACTTGGAATACTGTGTCCAGTTCTGGTCACCATGGTACAAAAAAGATGTTGAGACTCTAAAAAGAGGGAAGAGCAACAAAGATGATAAGCGATATGGATGTTAAACCGTACAATGAATGATTGTGGAAACTAGGTGTATCTAGTACAGGGTTAGGCAACCTTGGCTCTTTTATGACTTGTGGACTTCAATACCCAGAATTCCTGAACTAGCCATGCTGACTCAGGAATTCTGGGAGTTGAAGTCCACAAGTCATAAAAGAGCCAAGGTTGCCCACCCCGGTCTAGTCTAACAAAGGACTAGGGGTGACATGTAGACCCACGTTTCCATAGTTAAGTTGATAGCAGTCAATAACTTGAGCTGTCACAGAGAAGAGGGGGTCAACATATTCTCCAAAGCATCTGAGAACAGGACAAGAAGTAACGTGTGGAAAATTATTAAAGAGGTTTTAATAGAATTTAGGAGAAATGTCCTGGCAGTGAGAACAATTGATCAATGGAACGGCTTACTGCAGAAGTTGTGGGTGCTCCAACACTAGAGGTTTTTAAGAGGGTAGACAACCATTTGACCGAAATGGTAGGGTCTCCTGCTTGAGCAGGGAGTTGAACTAGAACGGGGTCCCCAACCCCTGGTCCGTGGACTGGTACCGGGCTGCGGCATGCCAGCAACCGGTCTGCACAAATAAGCAAAGCCCCATCCATGGGATGTAGGCAGCACCCAAAACCACACACTCTCTGGTCCGTGAAAAAACTTTTCTCCACGGAATCGGTCCCTGGTGCCCAAAAGGTTGGGGACCTCTGAACTAGAAGACCTCCAAGGTCCTTTCCAAACCTGTTATTTTTTATATTCTACTTTTTGATAGAATTAGTACATGAACTTTGAAAGCAGTGGGATTGAAAAGCAAGACTGACTTCATCAATATCAGATTCAACCTATTTTCATTACTACTTGAGATAGAATACATTTATGATTGTATGCTTTCAAACATTTTGACTGCCAGCTTTAACCTAATCTTTGTTGAATGATTTGCTAATTCAACTACACAGTAACAACATAAATCATTTATTACATGGATATACAATACTGCTATTATATGACATTGACTCCCCCATGACCTCTGATGATTTCCTGGGTAAATCCATGTCGTTTGATACAGTATTGTGAAGTGTTTGACGCTTCCTTCCTCCGTTTTTTTTTTTTTTTTTAAAAACTTCCCATTCCAGTCAATAACCTTGGCATTCCTGGGGAATCTCATCCAAATACTAACCCGTCTTACTTCCCTTAGCCTTTTCGAATTGGCACTGCCATTATTTTATATGCCGCCCATCTCACCGATAAAGTGACTCTATTTAGCTCGGTTGTAGTGAGTAAACCAGCTCGAAATCATAAACTACTGTATGAGGTTTGATACTTCGGTACTGTTCTTAAGTGCGCAGGATTGGCGCCAATCTTTTCTGGTGCTTTCTTAATCTGTCTTCGTTAGCAACCCGTAACTCTTCTAGGATAATAGAAAATCTAGGACAGTAATCTTTTGGTCCATCTGTTGCAGAAACCCTGCTTTTCGTTCAGGTGCTGACTCCCCTTCTCCGATAATGCGCCGGCTGTCCACAAGACAGAGAACCAAGCCACTCCTCCAATTCGTTCGCGGCGTGTCCCGAACCTCCAATTGGTCCGTTCTCCTTTGCTCCGCCCCTAGTTAACGTTCTGTTTACGCAGCGCCAGCAGAGATTCAAACGGTGGCGGAAACTGCCGGGGTGGTTGAGACTGAATCGTATTGTCGTCTTCCTCGTTAACGGTGGCGCGTCTTTTCCCGTGAGATTTTTTTTTTATCCTGTCTCTTACCCTGCTAGCTCTGTCGTGAAAGTCTGTGCTTGGGGCCTGTGGACCGCAGAAAACAGCTTCTGCGATTCCTTGCACGCACTGAATTGGATGCTCCTCTCCTGGCGTTCAGTTGGGAAGAGGGAGACCCTGACTCTTAACAGTCTGAGAGGAGAGAGCATCTGGCCTAACCGCTGCTTTCCCCAGTTTGCAGGCCGTTAGTTATTAAATTATTTGATATATTTTATATTGTTTCTTATTATTAATAGAGAACCATTATTGAGTGGGCTTCCAGTTCTTTGAATTACAATTGAAAATTCTTCTCACTTTTTCCTGCAGAAAAATCATTAGTTATGGCTGCAGAAGCTGCTTTCAAGACTCCTAGTAAGCTAGAAGGAACAAGAAGGAAATCCGGTGAGGCTGTACTTAGTGAAGATGTGGGGCAACTTTAGGGTCATTGATTAATTTAACTTCATAAATTGGTCAATTTATAGATATAAGCAATCAAACGTATTAGGAAAAATTAGGTAAAATCTTTTAGATTCTGAGCAAGGCTTTTGTTGTTGAAAAATATGGTAGTACATGACTTAAAGGTGAATATAGCTCTTAGCACACAGTATTCCCCTCTGCAGAAGTGAAGAGCTCACATGGATTTGTACTGGAGGGGGGAATCTATGGCAGAAAATGTCTGCAAGAAAGTGGTAACTCAGCTTCCACCAGTAACATACAGTATTGCTGTTGGCAGAGGAGGATGCAATGAATGTTTGTTCTAAAGGGTAAGAGAAAGATGGATTTGGGGAAGGAATAAATTTGTAAATTTATTCTAAATGCTTCTTATCCAAATGTAGAATACAAGATTTTAGTATAAATTATTTTTAAATACAAAGGTTTGCAGATTTGGGACAGAATAACTTTTTTGTTTCCATGGCCATCACTTTATGTTGCTTCCTGCTTCCATGATAGTGAATGTGAAGAGAGAATGCTGACTCCAAATTGCCTGATATATGGTTGAAATTGAAATAGGTGGGTTTCTTTTAAAAAACAAAGTTATAGGATATATTCTTCAGAACATTCTTAGAGAAGCAGTATGATGTCTTTACATGTCAAAAATTCAAAGAATCGACATCAGATTGTGCACAAAATACTTGATAAAGTCTGGTCTTGGTTGCTGAGTTAGAAAAACAATTTTTGCAATTTTGGTAACAAAAATTTATTTCATATAGCATAAACAGCTTTTTTTTTTTTTACAATATAGGACAAAGTACTTCATCTACACTATCTATTCCAGCTTCTCCTTTCATGCGAAAACTGGGATATGGAACTGGTGTGAATGTTTACCTTATGAAACGGTATGTTATCTTAATTGATATATTCCAACATACTAAGATTTCTAAAACATCACAGCATAGGCCACTTAGCAAAATTGAAAAAAAAAAGTGATTTAACTCTGAGCCTACTAATTGGTTGTTACAAGCACAATAAATCTGGATTTTTCTGAAGTGTCAGATTGTCATGTCTGCTCTGCAATTCCTGCTTCTGCTTGTAATTTGTTATCAACTGTGTTATCCTGGAATAGCTCATTATGAGACAGGTATAAGCTTCAGTTAATTGTTGAACTTGAACCAGATATAGCATTGGCTTTGATGAATGATGGAGAAATATATGTTGGTTTTTTTTTTTAAAAAAAAACCCTAATAGTACTGGAGGCTCAGAAGAAAACTAATAATTTGCTTTCTGAAAGTTGAAGTATCAAAGGAAAGCTATTTTAAAATATTTGATTTCTTGGCAGGTAAAAAAATGCCCACAGTGCTTCTTATAGGGACTGAGAACTAATTCTCAGCAATGGTTAAATTGCTGTCAGCCATGCTAAAATAATGGAAATGGTATTTCATATACAGTAGTATTAGCTACTTAGTTTATCTATATACCCACTTTTTAAACTAAATCTCTTTTTTTCTAGGTCTCCTAGAGGGATCTCTTGCTCTCCCTGGGCTGTAAAAAAAATAAATACCAAATGTAACTCCAGCCAGCAAAGTATTTATCAAAAGAGGCTGAATGAAGAAGCTGATATTCTAAAAAATCTTCAGCACCCAAACATTGTGGGTAAGATTATGCAGGGAAAGTGGAAGATAGTTATTCATATTTATGAGCCTATTTAATTGAAGATTCCACGGTTCCACCTGGCTAAATATAGAGAAATGTCCTCAGGTAGATATATAAGCTGTACTGATGTAAAGGACTTGTCCTATTACAAATGAAGGCAAATGTAAGTATCCCAGAATTATGTTGCAGGATCCAATCTGGGCTGGTCACTGGGACCAGAGGTTTAGTCTTCTGAGCTTTCCGAACCTTGCTGGAGCCCTTCCTCAGGAAACGTCTCTCTCACCAGGAGGTGTGCTTTGGGCTATTCTGTGTGTGGGGTTTATTTGATACCTCTGTGTGTGGGGTTTATTTGATACCTACGCATAGAATAGCCCAAAGCACACATGTCTGAGAAGTTCCCTGAGGATGGGCTTTAGAATGAGTCCAAAAACTTGGAAGACTAAACTTCTCGTCCGTGACAGACCCAGATTGGATCCTGCAACAATTCCTATTGTTCTGTTAGTCTTTCTTAGGTACCATGATAGTTTTCTTAAAGCTCTTTCAGCATTATTTTGGAATGAATACTTGGATTGGAAAATATTTGGAGAATTATAAAAAGTGTCCTGGCCCATTTAAAGTTTGAATTACCCTGGAAATAATAAATGAAATGTTGTCTCTGGGGAAACTGACAAATTCTAAGTATGTGTTTTGAAGGGTTTCGTGCATTCATTGAGGCCAAAGATGGAAGTATGTGTCTTGCTATGGAATATGGTGGGGAGAAGTCCCTGAATGACTTGATTGAAGAAAGAAATGAAAAGCAGAAGAAACCTTTTCCAGCTGCCACCATTCTCAAAGTAGCGCTGCACATGGCAAGCGGCTTGAAGGTAGGCTGTAGAAATGGAATATGGCACTTTATGTGAAAGTTTAAGGGTTGAACAAAAACAGCAAAGCCTACAATTCCTTTGTAAATAAAATCCTTCTTTTTTGATTTTTAGTATCTTCACAATGACAAGAAATTGCTTCATGGTGACATAAAATCTTCTAATGTTGTCATTAAAGGTGACTTTGAATCGATAAAGATTTGTGATGTGGGTGTCTCTTTGCCTCTAGATGAAAATATGATGGGTATGTTGAATATTTAGTGTTCTTTTTTTTCTTTCACTGAAAATCAGCTTCAGTTCTTATTTCCGTCCACTCTACTAGGAAATGATGACCTCTGTGCTGTGGTGGTCATCAGTCAACTTTCCTGCCACACTGCTGAATCCTTAAAGGAATTCTATTGTTAAAGTCAGAGCTGCTTTTGTGATCTATTTTACAATGGACAATAAACAGTTTGGCCATCCTCATTTGGAAATAAACCAGAGCTGTTATGTCCATTTCATGCATATTTACTTATACCTGAAGGGAGAGCAAAATACTAGAGATCTGTGTGAAATATAGAAATATTTTTGAATATTGTTTCTTTGAGGTTTCTGAACTTAAACTAGAAAAGCAAAAAAATGGACCCAAAACAATGCAGTTCTTTCAGGACAGGAATGTAAGATAAATGTTCTATATCAGTGGTTCTCAACCTGTGGGTCGGGACCCCATTTGGGGTCGAACGACCATTTCACGGGGGTCGCCAAACAAGGCTGTCCGCCATTTTCCCCCCCTTTTCTTTGGCCATGCCCCTGGCGATGTATAAGTGGTTGGGGGTCACCACAACATGGGGAACTGTATTATGGGGTCACCGCATTAGAAAGGTTGAGAACCACTGTTCTATATAAATCAAGAAATTGGGATTGTAATATGTCTCTTGGTTCTCAGTGCCAAGCTCCCTTTTCTCTTCTTGGCTGCTTCCAGCTGCTGGAGCATATAACTCTTACAGGAAGCAGGAAGAGAAATTCTCATTCTAGAATTCTAATTTACTTCTCATGTGGAAAAGAATTGCAGTTGTAGGATGAGGCTATCCTCTGTAAGTATTCCGATGGATCTGAGAACCTGTATAGAATTGTGATTGGAGTTGTACGTGCTACAGAATACCATTTCCTCCAATCGCTTGTGCAATGGGCAGCTTTATAAATTAGTTAGATAAATAAATCCTGCTCATCACTATTGTGGCTATCAAGATTTTACCAAGCAGATTTTTTTCAGCCCTACTTGGTTTTAAGGAATTTTAGAAATGAAAGGATAGATTCTTTTCATAATGATTACTGTGACACTAACTGTTCTTGGCTTTCTTTTCCTTGGTTTTTACAGCTGCTTTAACATCATTGCTTCTTGAGAGAATTGCACTAAATCCTGAAGGTGGCTCTTAGTTTGTAACTATAATTTGTTTTTGTTCAGTGAGTGATCCAGAAGCTGAGTACATTGGCACTGAGCCCTGGAAACCCAAAGAAGCCTTAGAAAAAGATGGTATTATCACTGACAAAGCTGATATCTTTGCACTTGGGCTGACTTTGTGGGAGATGATGACACTTTCCATACCTCATCTTAATCTGCTTGGGGAGGATGATGATGGTGCGTCTAAATATTCTTCTTAATTTGGCAGGTGGGATGGTGGGATAACTTAATTTTATTTTTTGTTTTAGTCTCAGGCCTGCATTAACAGGGATGACATCATTGGGGTAGGCAGGCTAAAATGAGATGTGGATGAGATGCAGAATGTTACATTTAGCAGAACCTTTTTTACATCCATACAAAATGGCCAATTTGACTTTCTGGGAGAAAAGAAATGGGACAACAGAGCTGTCTGCAACTCACAAATTGCTCAGTCAGTGAATTTACTGGTAAAGTTAGCTGCTGAACCAAATCTTGTATGATCTTGGGGTGATTTTAGCCATTGAACATATGCCAAATATGTTAGAAATTTAATCAAGCATGGAATTTCTTTTAGTACAATTTATATTCTACCTTTCTGTCAACATGGCAATCAAGAATAATAGCAAAAAAAATAATATAAATATGTAAAATGCCATAAAATAGGTTAAGTCATTAAACTTGAGAAAAGCTTGAATAAACAGTCTGTGGAGATTCTCAATCCAGGTCATGGTTGTCCCAAAGATGCTTTTCAAGAGGCAACTGGACTTTCTTGTTTTTCTTTAAAGACATTTCGCTTCTCATCCAAGAAGTCTTTGTTGTCTGCATCTCAGACTGAAGCAGGAACCATTTGCGCTTCAGTTTGAGATGCAGACAACAAACTCATCCCCAACACCTACCCCTGTGTTCAACAGTGAAAGGGCACAGGGCAGAAAAAATCCTACAGAAAGCACAGCTCCACAATACAGTCCTTTCAGCAGTTCCAAGAAGGCTCCCCACACCCATATTCAGGTGATCCTGAAGACACAAATCCCCAAGTGGCCTCAACGACTCTGTAAAAGAATACAAATAACCAGCTGTCTGCAAGGAATATATATCCTTCCATCCCCCACCATCCAGTTATTGCTGAAGAAGCTTCTTGGATGAAAAGCGAAACGCCTTCAAAGAAAAACAAGGAAGTCCAGTTGTCTCTTGAAAAAACACCTTTGGGATAACCATATATATATATATATATATATATATACCATATATATATATATATGGTAAAAGGGATATATGCAGTGTTATCTTCATTTTAGATGTCAAAAGGGTCTGTCTCCTTCCCTCCCTCTCTCTCTCTTTCTTTCTGCCCTTGGTCTGCCAGTCCTCTTCCCCCACTTTCTTTCTCTCCCACTTCCCCCCCTCCCTCTTTCTCTCGCCTCCCTCTCTCCGATCTGCTTACCTGGCAAGTTGGCTTCAAGCTGTTCCCCAACAAGCTCAGAGGTAGGCAACTTCGGTTTTTATGACTCATGGACTTCAACTCCCAGAATTCCTGAGTCAGCATAGCTGGGCTAGCTAGCTCTCCTGCCCTTCCTGCTTCCTGCAGAGACATAGCAAAGGGAGGAGCCCCGCACAAAAAGCTTTTCAGCTTGTCGGAGAACACCGTGAGTCTACTCTCTTTTACACACATAGACAGAGAGAGAAGCAGGGAAGCACAAGTGCCTCTCTCTGTCTCTCTCTGCAAATGGCAGAGGAGGCTGGGAGCCACAAGGGTAGGCTCAAAGAGCTGCAAGTGGCTCCGGAGCCGCAGGTTGCCGACCTGTGCCATAGATATTTGCCCTCAAGACTTGGTTATGTGACCAGATATGGGGCTTCCACAAAGCTGGAAATTTGGCAAGATGGCTCCGTTGTTGAGGGTGGCATTTTTTAAATTTCCCTCCATTTTGACTGAATTTTGAGTTGTTAGGATACCTATTTTCATATATTTGTATTCACTGTTTTTGTTTTTTATCCATTGTGGTGCACTGCCCAAAGTTTCCTTCAATGAAATAGGCAAGTATATAAATATGATTAATAAATAGAACTCTGTGATCAAACCCTGGTCACTGGAAAATCAGCAATCAGTATTGTTTCTGGGCAGTTCTAATGTTGAATATAATCATTTTCTCTTAGCAATTTGTGATGGTTTCTTGAAAACGGCTTTTGACCCATTTCTAATATATTTCCAGATGCTTCTTTTGATGAAGCTGACTTTGATGATGATGCCTATTATGCAGCGCTTGGAACTCGGCCACCACTCAATATGGAAGAGCTGGGCCCTTCATATCAAAGGGCTGTTGAGCTTTTCTCCTTGTGTACTATGGAGGATCCAAGAAACCGTCCTTCAGCAGCACAAATTGTGGATGTTTTAGAGTCGGAAGAGTTCAAATATTAGCCATCCAAATCAACTCCTGCATCATATGGCACCTTTTCCGTTCTCTTCTAGAAATGTTTGTAGGTGCTAACATAGTTAGATTATGTGAGAATATTCAATACTTAGTTGCTAGTTCAAATGTATTTACGATTAAGTGGTCATCTGTTTCATTTTAAACTATTTAAATTGCTGGATTATTTTTTTAGATCAGATAAATTATCTCAGTACCTTTTGTTTTCTTATTGATAAGCTGATGTGAAAACATAGAAGAGGATGACTAATTCAGTGTTAATGTGCACGATTTGGATGTAAGTGAACAAATTCTCCAACTTCTGTTATGTTCTAGATAAGTTATATCAACTGAATATGACTCAGACATAGTCAGTATGAGAATTTGCAATTCATTCAGAAATGGCTGCACATGTTGTAAAGGTCAACTATTTGCTTCCAATGTTCAGCAATAAATTACTGCTTTTGGGTGATGTTACAAAGCCTCTCAACCTATTGGCTGAGATTACTGAAAACGTTAAGTGATCCCAACCATTTGCAGCATTTTTGCAGAAAAGCTTAGGGTTCTTTTCTAAGCTGTTTCTCATGGCATTTCAAGGGCAGCAGTCCAAAAATTATTTGGATTGCATTTCACATTCATTGGAACAGCAGAACAAAACTTGGAATGCTTTGGTTATTCTAGGTCTCAAAATTCAGAAAAATCATGAGTGATTTCACAGGGCAAGTAAGTTAGCGCTGGTATGATGCTCCTGCCAATATATTCCTAGTGCCTTTCCCTTTCTCCTGCCACCAATGCCCTTAGTTGCCACGATTGCCCTTAATTTTTCTTTTACCCTCCCACACCAGATCATTTGTGCGTGGAACAGCGTTTTGGTCTGTATCTAGAACAAAACTGCTTCACTTCATCCTATATATGAATCAAAACACCTGAAATAATGTTTTTTTGTTCAGGTGCATACCACATACTATAATACATAGTTGAAATTTTCTTGTATAAATCCAAATTCTGTGTGAAGGGCAAAACTGCAGTTTATTGGAATTACTGAAAAATTAAGGTAGAGATAAATTCTAGGATTAGTGGAAGGCATTGCCTTTTGTAATTATAGCACACAGATTCAGAAATGTTTATATCTTTAAGAATGTTTATATTTTTGCAAGAACAGTTGCTATATGTAGGAGCTCAAGTTCCTTTAGTGTAATGGAAATTGCATTATCTATATCAGAGGTCCCCAACCTTTTGGGCACCAGGGACTGGTTCCGTGGAGAGGTTTTTCTACAGACCGGAGGGTGCATGATTTTGTGTGCTGCTTGCATCCCACAGATGGGGCTTTGCTTGTTTGTGTGGCCCGGTATTGGTCCATGGACCGGGGGTTGAGGACCCCTGGTCTATATGGATAGCATCAGTTAATAGACAATTTGTTTTAGCTCGTTTTCCAGTTTTTCTAGAAAAGGACATAATAAAGAATTGCAATGACCTCAGATCAAAAACCCTGATTAATGATTCCAGTGCTTTGAAAGAAGGGAAGTGTGTGTGTGTAATTATTTGAAATGATGGTTTGAAGTGTATGCTCATATAGAGTGCTATCGTGGATATCTATAGAACCAGGCTGGCTATGAGATCAAATAAGTTAAATTATGCCATAAAGTTAAACTAAGGGATAGCCACCTATGGAAGAATGTTAGTATTCAGTAAAAGAGGCAACTTGGTAAGTTTGTATGTATAGATTGCACAATTTACTCATTTCTGTGTGGTAGCAGACAGGTTATTTTATGATCAAATGTGCATAAAGAGAACATTTGATCATGAAAGACTCAAAAGAGGAACTAGCAGGTCCTCTGTTTATGGTTAACTAGAGATGATTGATTGGAACAGTATATACATTTTGTAAACAAACATTTACTATTGCAGATACATATCAAAGAATGCTTAATACAGAAAAATATTTATTTGAACAGACTTGATCCAACAATGTTTAGTGCAAAATTGCAGTTGTTGTCAGACATAGTCTATGCAACTTCTGCAGTCGCCGCCAACACTTTCAAAGCTTCAAAAGCTAGTTTCGATAATGTGCTTCCATGAACAGGTGCAAAAATAATTTTAAAATTTTAGTTCATAGCAGCATTACAATACCTCTTACAGTTTATTTCCTCCTATAAAAAAATTATTCTAGATGTTGCTGAACAGCCATAGCCAATATAATCACTGCTAAAAAGTGCTGGAAATTAACAGATAGCTTAATACATTTTTCAACCCTGCTTATTCAGTCTCAGCATGAGTTTCTTTTACTAAATCTCCTCAGTCTGAAAGAAATCAGTATATTTGCTAGAATACACTGAAGGTAGTACAAAAAAGACCTAGAGCAATTAGGAGTTATTTTCTTACACATTCTAACACCAATTTTGGAATTTAACTTTCAGAATTAACTTTTTAAACAATTCACATACCAAATACATACCTGGTATGCTACTAACTCAAATTTACTTTAACACATTAAAGCAGAAAACAATGCCCTAACCACATTTTATAAAATAGTCCTTGCTGAAAGAGATGGGCTCATTAACTCTACTTTGCATTTGTACAAATCTAGTCTTAACTAATGAAATTATAAACAAGGAAGTTGGGTACTTGGCAATATTTTGCTGCAAATAGTTTCCCATCTGGTGTTGGATCTGAAAAGGCGATTTCATTGATGCTTAGGTAACAGCCAAATAAAAAAGTTTGCCTGGAAGAAAAAAGTATCAAAGCAGAATAAGAACCCAATTGTCCTTTTGTTTATTATATTTATTTAACAGTTCATTTAATAGTAATAGCTAATCATTTATTATATTCATTTAATAAAAGTTTAAAACTATTACAATATTAACAAATGAAACAGTCAAAAGAAATCATCTTTATCCAGTGCTCAGCTGAATAAAATGGCAAGTCCAGACTAATTAAAGGAAGGCTGTTCTCAGCACTCTGCTATATATGAGACACGTGCAACCATGCCCCTAAGATTGGCTCCGTTGAACAAGAGTGTATACTTTTTATAATTAGCTGAAAAATACTTATATTCCCAGAAAAGAATATAGGTAGTCCTAAACTTATAACAGTTCATTTAGCAACCCTTCAGTTACAACAGCTTTGAAAAAAGTGACTTATGACCATTTTTCACACAACTGTTGTGGTGTTCCCCATGATCATGTGATCAAAATTTGGATGCTTTGCAAATGGGTCATGCAACCTTCTGACAAGCAAAGTCAATGGAGAAGCCAGATTCACTTAACAACCTGTCACTAACTTAACTGCAGTAATTCGCTTAACAACAGGGGCAAGAAAGATCATAAAATGGGGCAAAATTCACTTAACAAATGTCTCAATAACAGAAATTTGGGGCTTAATTCTGGTTGTAAGTCAAGGACTACCTGTATCTGAAAATAAGACGTCATATGTTACAAAATTTTCAAACTGGACCCAGACTGCTTCTTTACCTCATCACATCCACCAGACGGCTAGCAATGTGCTTCCTCTGCATCAGGCTGAATACCCAGATTCGGCTAATCCCGCAGTAGACCTTTTCTGGCTTTGTTGAACAACACCAGGCACGCTGATGCTCTAGGCTGTTTTTAGTAGGGGATCCCACTGTTGCGGGCTCTGAAAGCACTCGGAAAGCCTGTACAAAAGAAGAGTTGCTTTAAACAGTACCTAACTGATATTAAAGGATGGATTACAGGACTTTAAACTTTTTGCGTCCCAAATTTCATATGGCATATGTTGGGCTGCATCTACCAAAGTATCCTAACTCTTTATGAATTGATCTACAAGTACACACAACTATTAACAAATTATCTTCATGACATCTTCACACAGTGATAATGAATGTCACAAGTTTAGATAACAAAATGTTATCTATGTTAGAGTCATAATTCCCTGCTTCTTGATTATTGTCCAACACTGCTTGAAATGGAGTCCACAACTGTTCTATCTTTGTTAAATGCTCTTAAGAAAGAAGCTCAGGCAGAGATTTTACTAGCACTTCTTTTGCTCCAGTGTTTTGCAGACTTTTTAAAGGAATGATAGGAAGTCATCCACTGAAAAAAGGCTCACTATCTGGATTAAGATTTTCATGTTCCTTGCAAGGAGAGAGAGGGAAATGGACTCTTGAGAACTTGCAGGGAAGCTTAAGTGATTGCTAATGAGGCTGCAAACTCACCCCAGAATAAGCTGCCTCCAAATCTCCATCCAAGGTGTGGATTTGGTACTAAGCAACCACCTTTCTCTTCCTATCACATATGGAACAGAGGATAATGCAAGGATCCAAATAAGAGGTCTTCTTGCATTAATGTAAAAACATACACAACCTTTCTTACTAGCTTCAACAGAAAAAATCAGTAGATACTACCTCCCCCACAATAAGATGGTTACTATAAGGAACATTTGTCCCAGAAAGATAACCCTACCTCTCGGTCAAAGAACTCTTGAATATGGATAGAGTAAAATTGTAAAGATTATTTGCCCATCATTATTCACTGATACTATTAAGGTAAAGTTCAAAGATGTTGATCACAGCAAAGGATCAGATTTCTTAAATTACCTTCTATCAGGTACCCAGGTCTGGTTTCCCAGAGAAATGGGGGCAACCCAGAAATAGCTGCAGCATTGCTGTAAAAGCGTAGCCATCTCTTGAAAAGAAACATTCCTTTGGACTTAAAAAAATGATTATTTTCTGAAACATCTGAAGGCAGGACAAGAAGCAATAGATGAAAACTAATCAAGGAATAATTGAAATAATTAGCATCTTATTGTTAAGATTCTATTTTAAATAAGGTTTAAGTTATGTTTTAAATAAAAACAATATAAAAGGATCTGATTCAAACTACTGAACTTGGTCAACACTATATGAACATTTCTGGGCTTGCCCACCCATTTCAGAACAAAGGTATTTCTTTCAGACATAGATTTTTCATTCAACAGTACCAATTACTTACCTGTTTGACTGGCTCAGCAATTAAGCAGCCAACTATCTTTTTTTCATTGGATACAAACAAATATGTTTTAGTCTGTGATGGATGAGTCTGTACCACATGTTTGAAACCAAGTTCATTGTCTACAAGTTTGCGTATGTCATCAGCCTACATAAGAAAAAAACCCACAGTAATTTAGTTACATAGTTGTCAACAGGCAACATTTCTAACAGCAATTAGTTATAGAATTATAAAAAGTGCATTTTTTGCTGGAATTCTATTTGGCCACCAAGATTTTTGGAAAGCAGTAAGCGTTGGATAGTTTGTTAACACAAAAATAGCTGGCTGGAAAGTTGCTCCTAAAAACTGAACACAAGCTATTTTGTTTATAACTTTTTAAAAATTCAAACCATGCAATATATTTAGTAATAAAAGATAATTCCTGAGATTATTAGAAAATGGGAAAATTTTCTTTTGTAATTTCTTAAATTACAAGAACATTTAACTTGGGCTGAGAGTTATTTATCATTTGGGAATACTGTATACGTACATTTTCCCCTCAAAATGTAAGAATTATGGAACAACACTGGAACTGATAAATAACTTAGACAAAAAAATAGAAACAAAGTTAGAAAAACTCTAGTACAGCACCTTTTTGATAACATATTTTGGATCATTCTGTAGAATCAAGATAATTTTTCCATCCCAGTATTCTGCAACTACATGTTCATTCTTCCAGCTCTACCAAAAAAAGGCAAAAGGAATATGGAAAAAGATTTAGATTAATAAATTTAGCTATGAATAAAAAAAGAACAAACTCTATGGTATATCTAATTTCTGTCTTACTGTATATTTTATTCCCTCAATAAATCTTTGATGATACTGGACATGATGTGCTTCATCCTCTGGGTTGGCAGCTGAATAAACCATGCCACATGATTTGCAGATGGTGGCACCAATATGTTTTTGACCAGCATCCTGTAAAGGCACAGAAGATATTAACATGTCATATTGTCCAGTCTAGGATATTAGGAGAGACCATTTAGCACTTTAATATACACATTCAGAAACAAAATGTGGCATGTCTATCAGCTTTGTAAATGATGGCTGCAAGAAGTATACTCACAATGATCATTTGATCCTTCAAGCCTTTGGACAATACTTTTGCCTTCTTGTTGATTTTTAGTATGGAGGGAGACTTCTGCTTTACTGGACTTGGTTCCACATGTGATGATGGTTGTTCATCTGGAAGAGTCTGTAGACTGAAACAAAGATATTTGCACCTTACCAATAAAGATTCATAAAGAATATATAGGTATTTCATTTCTTAAGACTAACATTAATGAATACGGCTATAAGCACAAGAATTTTCTCCCAGGAGAAGCCATCTTAATTTTGAATACTGAAACATGGGATTTTACATTTAAGAAATCAGTCCCACTAGATCTTGCACTCTTTTAGATTACAAGTCCCATTCCTTGATATTGGCCAGTGCTGACTAGGGTAATAAGAATCAATATTTAAAACGTAACAGGAAAATAACAGATTGCTTACTTGCTTAACTCAATGACATTGTGAACATGAATTCTAGGTAATCCTTCTATATCTTCAGTTCAAATACAGGTAGCCCTTGCTTAATGGTAATTTTCACCGTTAATGTGTTTGTAAGTGCCATGTCACATGATAGCATCACTTGGTGATGGCAATCCTGTCAGTCCCCATTGCCATTGTTACGTGAGTATCACGAGTCATTTAACAAGGATCACTTTCTGCTAGCTTCCCACAAGCAAAGTCAATGGGAAAGCCAGCAGGAAGCTGCAAGGCCCAAGTGACTTGCAAGCAGACTGGTGGGCAGACAAGTGGCTGCTGCTGTGTGTAGCACGAGCAAAGCTGCAAAAGAGGGGGGGGGCTGCTACAGAGTGCGGGAAGGTACTGTGGTATAGTACAAACATGACCTGGCAGGTGTGTGCTATAGAGTGCAGGAGGGCAGCATGCTACAGGTGTGATCTCATATTCCATAACTGGATTCTCAGAAAAAAAAATCAGCAATACTGGGAACAACCTGGAACGTTCCCTGCCAACTTTCCCATTGACTTTACTTATGGGAAGCTGGCAAGGAAGGTCACAAATGGTGATCATGTTACTGCAAGACATTGCAACCATTCTAAGTGTAGGCCAGTCATGTGACTATGGGGATGCTGCAACAGCCAAAATTTCAAAAACTGATTGTAACTATCACTTGTTCAGCACTGTCATAACTTCGAACATTTGCTGAATGAGTGCTTGTTAAAAGAGGACTTCCTATACAATGTTCCTGTAGCTATTTCTTCTATTTCATTTTTACAAATCCCATGACCCAGCTTAGGCTGATATGCACAGTGGCCAAGGGACTGAGGTTGATCAGAATTCCAATAGGCACTTCAATTCTAGTTTAACACTCTAATATAATGGCATTATAAGGAAGAAGGAAAAAAACTCTTAACAGCTGCCCTACAATTAATTTTTTTAGCATATTTTAATTGGTTGTAGTATAGTCAGTACATGGGCAGAGTATCATTTTAGTCTAAGGAATAGCAAAGTTTTTATCGCAGTTTGAAATATTTATATTTTATTTTTAAGCAGAAATTCTTTACAGCCAACTAATTGCCAGAATTTTGCAACCCAGATGTGCTATGTCTTTATAATATTAAGACAGTACTGCTCTCTCTACTTTGAGTGATTAACAAAACCAAATGATGTAATAGTTAATACAATGTTCTATTTGTTTTGCCCTCAATAAGCAGGCTTTGCTAGTCCTATGAGCTTAAACTTCAGTATGGAAGCATAACCTGGTGCATAAGCAGTTCCTCAGATGTAACAATTTGCCTATTAGAATTACTCAAGGACAATAATATTCAGCAAAGAATCTTTGTCCTTTGGTAACTGAATTGTGATGCCAACAGCAACTAATTAGGTAGCAAAATGCCATGACTTATTATTTCAAGATCGGTATAATTTATGATGGCAGAAATTTTCCATAACATTGCAGGGAGCCATAGAAATAATCTTGGAGAAGGAAGTTAGAAGTTATTACCTCAATAACAGCTGCTGAAGCATAGGCTAGCTCTGAAGTGTTTGTTTGGTGTGTTTGTGTATGGAGGAAAGGACAAGAGAGTATAGGTCCTCGACCTACATCCATTTGATCAGTGTTCAAAATTATGACGTGCTGAATGAATGGTGATCGTGAGAGTTCTGGCTATCCAAGCATCCCTGAGATCACATGATTGCGATATGGCTGCTTAGTAACTGGGTCACACTTGCAACCAACTACAGCACCCTGCAATCATACCATCACCATTTGCAATCTTCCTTGCCTGCTTCCCCAGAAAGTCAATTGAGAGGCTGGCAGGGAAGGTTGCAAGACACTGTGCTTGTTTTCCCCCATTCTTTGTGTTTGCATGGCACTGACCGCTTGTGCACCTCTGTGCAATCTCCACAATCCTCACTGTGCCTCCTTCACATCCGCCCAACCTGCACTTCTTGTGCATCCCTTTCCATTTTCCCCAAACCTCCCTTGCACTACCTCATTCCTTCCCTCACCCAGCCTGAGATTTACCTGCCTGCTGGCCTAGGACTTACTTCTTGCTGTCTTCCAGATTTTTATGTGTGAAAATGGAAGCTGACTTGCTCAATGTCTGTAGGATTTGGTTAACAATGATAACTGCAGCTTGCAGAGATTGTTGTTGCTAAGTAATGTCATTATGCTTTACAACTACATTGCTTAGAAATTCCAGTCCTGATTGCCTTAAGTCAAGGACTTAACTCCACAGGAAATTCTTCATCTGCATTATATAATTACCGAGAATATTACAGAACTGACGTACCTTTTTTTGTTGCTGGAAAATGTTCTGAATAAAGAATGGACATTGTCTGCCAAAAATAATATTGGAAGAAAAAAAAGAGTATCCATAAAATTTATATCCACCCATTTCCATTATTCATAACACTGTGCTCCAGATCTTAAAAGGAAGAGCTTAAGCTTAAGAACTTAAGGATCAATATAGCTTGACCACAAAATATTATATAAATATATATGATGCGTTAATATTTGGTGGTCAAGCTACATTGATCCTTAACTTTAGCTTAAGTTTTATATACACACACACAGATACACAAAGTCATAAGCCTGCTGGATTCCAAAGATCACTTATATCAAGCTTTTCTCCTGCAGGAGATGGACACATAGATATCAACTACCCTCTTGAAATTTAGGTGTGAAGGAAACTAGGTTTTCATGCCAAAGTAATAACAAGGTCTGAAGGCAATAGCTAAAAATATCCATTCTGGTCACACCAGATAATATACAAGACCTGGAAATAGCTGACCTTGTTCCGTCTGATCAGATTGGGAGAAAATGATCTTTCAGATAACCTGATATATATTGGACCTTAAAAGTGGCAATTGGCACCATGAAATGCACCTGGAGGCCAACTGGTAAACAGTGAGGTCACCACCTCTGAATGGGGGATTACAATTAAGTTCAGAATCAAAGATGGTATCATCTGGCCCACAAATCCAAAGCCATTGTCTTGGAATAAATCATCCTCAATCTATTTCTACCCATCTAAACACTACTACCTGGAACTGAGTTAGGATTCCTGTTACACCATTTGCTTGGCTTGGTCCTGAGACATATAGCTGTGAAGCATAACTATCTTGATAGTGAACCCCATGCCAACAGATGATCTGCTCCAGTAGATTCATGTAGAAGGTAGGAAACAGTGGAGAAAACAAGAGGCTGGAGTACTTCACAAAATAGACATCTCAGGGCAGATCTATTCTTTCAGCCCTCAGTTGGAACTACCCCTGCGGGAAAAAAGGGAACTACTACGACATGATGCTTTCTATTCTAAATCTGTGGTCCAGAATAACACTATCATCAATGGATGCTGAGAGTTCAGTGAGGACCAGGAATGTTGCACTCCAATCCTGGTCCCTATAAATATTCATAATCATTGTTTATAGGATCAACCATAAATAACTTACTGGAAGAGGCAATCTTATAATTGTTTGTATTGTCAGATGGTTTCTTTGAGATATCGTCCAAAACCTGTCAAAAAAGCAACAACAACAACAAAAAGATTTTTTTAATACAAACTGAAGTGTCCCTCAGTACCAATTCTATTGGATCTTGAACCCTACGGGTTATGAAAATATATATTTTGAAAGTGGAAAATTAAACTATAATTAATAAAGTCAATATAATGTATTAAATTACTAATGAGGCAAATGTCATAAAAGGCCATTAAACAATCTTTTAAAATTGTATTCATGACTTCCAACAGAAAATAATTCATGGCCTGATCAGGAATGGGACATTGCTGGATAAAATTTTCTATTTACTTATTTTACAGAGTCCTCTTTTTTCATTCCAGCTTCTCTGAGAAGCCAGTTAATATTGTTTGGTAATAAAAACTAATAATTAACTCATTTAACAAGAGAGCAAGTTCAAATATTTTTAATGGTGATGGATGCAATATGTAAGAGCTTAAAGGAACATGAATGGAGCCATTGTTTTAGATAGCGCTCTAGTCCAGGTCAGGCCTTTCAAAAAAGTTACCAGAAACCCGAGAAAGAATTGTATTTTAATCCAAAACAGCTTGTTGACAATAATCCAAGTTGCTATATTAGTGAGATAATTATATGGCCTTTCCAAATAAATCAGTCAGTTTATCCAAATTATAACCCTCAAGGGTCTTCAAGAAACAAACCCTGTCTTTATGCTAATTTGACAGAACATGCAGGACTACAAATCAAATAATCATTGAATTAAGGAATTTAATCTCTTCTCAATCAAACTTACTAGAGGGGTCTGCAACCTCGACAACTTTAAGACTTGTGGACTTCAGCTCCCAGACTTCTGGGACCTGAAATCACAAGTCTTAAAGTTGTCAAGGTTGCGGACCCCTGTGCTAGACAAATTACTAATATTTATAAATTACGCATACCTCTTTCCTGGCATCAGTTTCTTTCTGAGCTGGGGACTCCAAGGAACCAGACGGAGAAATTTGAAGAAGCCCAGAATTTGGCAATGATTTCACTTCACACAAAGGGTCCTTAATATGACTTTTATTACATGTTAGTGTCTTCTTATCCTTAATATCAAGATTTTCTTTTGAGGATGCATCTGCTTGGTTTTCTTTCCTGCCAGTTTTAGCTGCTTTACTTTCAGAAGATAAGCACATTTTGGTATTTGTGAGAAGATTGTCCTGCTTCTTGCTTTCTGTGGTATTGTTAACAAATTGGAGAGATTTTCGTGGTGAAAACAGCTTCTTAGAGTCACCGTTCCCCCTCTTTCCAGTGGCAAAAAATGCTGCCCCTGTCTGGAGTCTTAACATAGGTTTGAACTTCATGGTTAGAACTCTGGAAGGACCTTCTATTTTCTTTTCTACAGCATAATTTTTATTCTCCTTCCCCCTAGGCTTAGGGACAGCAATTTCCATTTTAGCTTTTTTGGTATTTCTTGATAAGGTCTTGGCCTGTTTGGAAATAGCTAAGTGCTCGGAAGTTTTAAGATGTTGCATCTTGGCCTGTACCACTTCTGTCTTGTTAGCAATAGGTAAACTTGCGTAATCGTTTCTGGAATTTATATGACACTCCTTTGCTTGTTTTCTTTCCAATATACTTTGAAATATATTTCCTTTACTGTAAAAGGAATTGATTGGCACAGTGGAATTATATATAGTGCCAGACACCGGAGATATTCTCTGTGGGAATGCATTTGATTTTACTTTTGGTACATCTGCTGTCTGCAGTGGTGAAGTATTAAGTTTCTCCAAGCTGGTTGACTTTTCAAGAAAGTGCTGGCTTTCTTTATCTTGGAAACTAGGTTTTTTTGTTGGAGATGCTTCTTCAGTGAATTCCATCCTCAGTCTTTTCACTGGAGTCTCATTTACCAGCTGTAAACTATGAAAAGTACACATTTGTTCTTTACCTATCTCAGAACTAATTCAGCAACCTTATTGTATTATAGCTAAAAAATAACATCTTACTTAAAGAGTTTTCAATCTATTACATTAAAACAAAAATTCTATTGAATGTACTCTTTTTTTAAACCGAATTTGAATTAAAAACATCACTGGGTCTGAGGCATCTTAACATTGTTCCTTTAAATGGGAAATGTAAATTTAGTTCAATTTTCGCCTTCTTAATTTGGACAATAAAATATTAAATATAACGAAGAATCTATCACAGTTTAATGTGCTTTATGTACTTAACAGTAGATGACTTCATATACTACAATTCTGATTTGTAGTTTTCCAAAATAAATCAAAAGATTTATATATTCAAAAACTAAAACACAGATCACTGAGACTAAAAAAAATTATTTTAAAACTTAGCTTTCGTCAGCATCTGCTGACATCGTCAGAGTTCTAGCCAGGATTGAGAATCACGTTCTTATAGTTTCTGCAACACCAAGCGTTTGGCTAACGACTTTTGTTACCGGTCTGTTCAGCTCCCGCCCCCCTGTAGTTAATTGCTGTGTTGACGGCTGTTTAAATTTAGGCACCCTGCTCCTCTCCTCACACCCTGCCCGTGTGGAGTGTGTATTCTGCCGTGTGCAGTCATCTCGCTGCTTTAACGCCAGAAAAGCAGCGAGTTTAGTTTATTTTAAAATGCTTATAGTAGTAACAAAAAGTTCAAGAGTTTCTCTGGAACAGTCTCCTGTGAAGTTCATCTTGTCATCTCCCTGAGGGCATTCAGGAAGAGGAAAAAACAGGACTGTTCAGAAAGCATTCAAACAGATTCAGCCATCTTTGCTTCTATTTTTGAGTTTGTTTTATCTCTGATTTGTTGTTTTATTATTCTTTAGTTTTTATGCTTGTTGTGGATATTTAAAATTATTTTCATTTATATTGTGTTAATCGATGAGGATTGATTATAGTGAGATATAAATAAAACAAATAGAAATACAGTATATCCTTATGACTGGCTTTTAAAACTCACCTATTGTAACAGCGTTTTCTTTTTCTTGGAGTAACAGCTGCCATACTCGGAGTAAAAAGCCTATTATAAGTTACAAATGTATATTTTAGAAAGTGCATTTTTTTCATTAGGCAATTTAAAATGAGCAAAGCTGGCACAAGAACCTGCATCTCTAACTTGTCCTTGCTTGCCTTTTTCTTATGCCAATTTATCCTGCCTTCATCTACAGAGTAGCAGCTAATTTGGTGTATTTATCACTTCTTCTAATAGTGGTTCCAACATACTTGGTTAAATATATAGATAGGCATGCCAAAAACAAATTTCAATGGTAAAGTGCCTGCTCTGCAAGCATAAGATTTCAGCTTTAATCTCTGGCATTGCTACAGATGGTGAAAAAATCTAGGGAGAAGCCAGCATCATTAAATAAATCAATAACCTGATTCCAAAGAAAAAAAACTTCAAATGTTGTAGATATTCTTCCATTCAATATATATTGAACAGCAGCTTTTTGGCAGAGCATGTCTTCAAACCTTCAAGATAGGTTTGAATATGACATCTGTCTGTAAGCTTCAAGGACCAGTAGAAGACATTACGCCATGGTTCTCTTGAACCTTGGACAACAACACTCTATATTTCCCAGCTGTCATAGCTGTGGTTGAGGACAGTGGGAGCAGTGGGAGTTGAATACATATAAAGGCATTGCTGGGTGAGAAGGATCAAGATATTAGAATTCTCACAAAAACTCTTGGAAAGTCTTATTTTTTTCCAGTGTACAGGTAATTTTTAAATTACAACTGTTTGTTTAATGACCATTCAAAGTTACAATGGCAGAAGAAAGTGACTTATGACCATTTTTCAGTTATGATCTTTGCAACATCCCCATGATCACGTGATCAATATTCAGATACTTGGCAATTGGTTCATATTTAGGCCATTATGTGTCTTGAGACCATGTGATCTCCTTTTGCAACCTTTTGACAAGCAAAGTAAATGGGGAAACCACCTAACAACCAGGTTACTAACTTATCAGCTGCAGTGATTCACTTAACAACTGTGGCAAGAGAGGTCTTAAAATGGGGCAAAACTCACTTAACAAATGTCTCACTTAACAACACAAATGTTGGGCTCAATTGTGGTCATAAATCAAGGACTACCTGTACTACCCACTCGCCTAATGTACACACTATTTATATACTAAACAAAATCAGACGAGTATATATTCATGTCATGCTGCAGAATTAATAATAGAATGAGATTGCAGACCAGAGGTGCTCAGGGCCTAATGTAAGGCTATCAAAAATATTCAATGACTCAGCACCCTGCCTGAGCCTCTGTCCAGCCTACATTTCTCCCACCCCCACCACCTCACAGCCTCATTTTCTTTATGCAGGCAGGTTGGCTTACTGAGAAGCTAAACCGAAATTTCCTTTCCTGACCTTTTTGAGGAAGCAAAGTCAAAGCAACGAGAAAAAAAAAAAGCAAAGAACGTGAAGATATTTTTATGAAACTCGTGATCTCTGACCGGGGTTCAGAACTCCCCAGATCTCTTCCCAGATCTCTTCCCACTTTTTCAAGGCGATCAGGGCTACAAAAATCCGGAGGGCCATTACATAGCCACAAAACGGCAAAGCAGTTTTTTGTTCCCACCCACCGATCATCCGGATTTTTGCAGCCCCGGTCGCCTATAGACTTAATGGAAACAAATCAATAAGGTAGTACATACTCCTTAGTAATTCTCAGCATTTCCTTTTCCTGCCCGTTTCCTTTGTTCCAGTCCCAGCTTTCTTTTCCCCCATACATAAAAAGCCGATCTCTGATCACCCCTCAGTACATTACCTCAGTCAGGAGAGAGTGGGGAGAAAAAGAAATCCCACCGTGAAATACCTCCTATCGACTCAGACACTGACTGCGCCGTTCGAATTTGCTCCCGCGCGCGCCTTAGCTCCCTCTATTTCCTATTGGTCTGTTCCTTAACGATAATTGGTTAAATTGCTAGCCAATGCCTATGCTAGCCCACTCAGAAGCAATGTAAGGATCTCGGCTCTCGCAGACACTTCGCCAGCATATTAACGCTGAATGGAGCCAGCTACTGTAGTATAGTAATAAGAATAGTAAAAGATGTTTTGGATATTATTTTTCGGTCTTCTAATTCAGTTGTATAAGTAATTCCGAAATGAGTAGTATATAATCTTGTGCACTACTTCAAATCGGTAGTAGCCATGCTGAATGGCAACAAGCTGATCATTTAGACAAGAAAAACCAAATGCACAGGTATAGTATAGGGGGTACCTTGCTCAATAGTAGTAACTGTGAGAGGGATCTCGGAGTCCTAGTGGACAATCATTAAAACATGAGCCAGCAGTGTGCTGCAACTGCCAAAAAAGCCAACACACAGTGCTAGGCTGCATTAACAGGGATAGAATCGAGATCACATGAAATATTAATACCACTTTACAATTCCTTGGTAAGGCCATGCTTGGAATACTGCATCCAGTTTTGGTCACCACGATGTAGAAAAGATGTTGAGACTCTAGAAAGTGTACAGAGAAGAGAAAGTGTACAAAGATGATTAGGGGACTGGAGGCTAAAACATGGGGAACGGTTGCTGGAATTGGGTATGTCTAGTTTAACGAAGAGAAGGACGAGGGGAGACATGATAGCAGTGTTCCAATATCTTAGGGGCTGCCACAAAGAGGGAGTCAAGCTATTCTCCAAGGCACCTGAAGGCAGGACAAGAAGCAACGTGTGGAAACTAACCAAAGAGAGAAGCAACCTAGAACTAAGGAGAAACTTCCTGACAGAACAATTAATCAGTGGAACCTGCCTCCAGAAGCGGTGAATGCTCCAACACTGGAAGTTTTTAGGAAGAAACTGGACAGTGATTTGTCCGAAATGGTATAGGGTTTCCTGCCTGAGCAAGGGGTTGGACTAGATGACCTGCAAGGTCCCTTCCAACTTTATTATTATTATTATTAAGCCAGCCAATTGGCTTGCCTCATTATACTTAGTGGTAGTGCTACCATTTTTTTTGTGTGTGTACTCGCTTGCTCGGTAGCAAGTTCATTTTCAGTATGTGTTTGTTAAATAGTAACCTCCTGTTTAATTCGGCCTTGATTCCTCTTATTCCTCTGTTTGGTATTTTTACCCTGCTTTTGTAATGCATATGTATAGTAGACCTCGAGTTACAACAGTTCGTTTAGTGACTGTTCGAAGTTACAATGGCACAGAAAAAAGAGACTTATGACCATTTTCCCCACAAACCATTGCAGCATACTGTGGTCATGTGATCAAAATTTGAGTGCTTGGCAATTGATTCATATTTATGACGGTTGCAGTGACCCAGGGCCATGTGATCACCTTCTGCAACCTGACAAGCAAATCAATGGGGAAGCCTGATTTACTTAACAACCATGTTGTTAACTTAATAGCTGCAGTGATTTGCTTAACAACTGTGGCAATAAAGGTTATAAATTGGGGCAAAATTCAACAACCTTTTTGCTTAGCAACAGAAATTCTGGGCTCAGTTATGATCGCAAGTCAAGGACTACTTGTACTACCCCACTTGTAGTGCTAATAAGCTGTCATTAGAAAAGAGAATTGGACAAAATACAGTAATAGGAAAAACATGGAATAAAAGACTGCCTTTTTGTAATGACAGTTGCAATTCTACTAGAAAGGAAGGCCATGAAGAAACATATTTGTTAGCTAATGGAAAGAAATTGGTTGAAGACATTGGGTTCAATAAGTGGCTGCAAATGTTCCATTTGCCCCAGTTGGTTTGTGATTTATTTAATAAATGGGGTTTACAAAGGACACTGGCTGAGTTGGCTCAAAAACTTAATAAACCTTTTTAGGCAATGGGGGCAGGTACATAAGGGGATAAGCCACTTCTGCACAAGTTCATTTAATACAGAAAGGAATCAAATTATTGGTGTTTAACGTGTACCCCTCACCCCAGGAAAAATATTGAGCAGAGCCTGAGGAAAGTCAACAGAAGCAATGGAACTTCTCTAGGGAAAAAATATTCCTTATGTTTTGACTGATAAAATAATGTGGATAGTACAGACCCAAGTGTATTCTTTTTTATTGACTAATGGATGCTGTCCAAAGTAATTCGCGAGATAGGTACCTTCTGTATATAGATAGTCCTCAATGTATAGCCACAATTAAGCCCATAATTTCTGTTAATGGTGGTAATGGTCATAAAGTGGTGACCAGATCCAATTTTATAATCTTTTTTGCAATAGTCATTAAGCGAACTTATTGGTTTTTGCCCAAAATTGGAAGTAAAAGCTGGTTTGTAGCAAAACCATTGTAAATTGCAGTTGTGACTGCAATGGCTGTAAATGTAGGCATTTGCCGAGCACCCAAAATACAGTTGGAAGAGGGAGAAATCAAAAGTTTGAATCCAGGACGAAGCCCCATGATCAGTTATAAGTTGAGAATCAGCTGTATAAATTTGATAAATAAAATATAGATAATTAAATAACACAGCCATAAGCTGCAAGGGTAAAGATACAAATAATTGGGTGCAAAACATTGTGAATCAAAGCAGATAATACTAATGCTTCAGAGCCAGAATGGGGGGAATCATAGAGTTTAATGCTAGTAGAGGACATAAGAGAAAGGTGATGCCATAGAGAGAGAAATAGTGGGATACAATTACTTCTAAGAATGCTTACAGCCAGCTGCCATTTTTTTTCTGATTCCAATATAAAATGCACTCAGAACTGAGCTGTACTCTTTTGTCTTTTTGTGGATCTATTATTTATCTCCCTTAATTTTTCTGCATATATGGTATACTAGGAAAACTAAGCATGAGTAATTAGCCAGAGTAATTTCCTCCAATAATGTGGTTTACCGGTCCATCCAGTTTTCAATTTGATCCAAAGCTGCAACATTGATCATATTGCCATCTGCCTCACCAATGTTTTCTTCCCACATGCTTCCATTCAGTGCTCCCTAGAGCCCAATTTCCTCTCTGCCTGGCTGTGTGGTAAGCTCATGATCCCCAAACCAACAATTATAATCCATATATCTAGCAGATGTTTTTTCTGGAATAGTGCTATCGATGATGGACAATTAGCTAGATGTATTTTTACATTTCCCTGCAATTTCTCAGGGAAACCCATGTGAATTGAGCAAAGGTGGTATTTCAAAATACAGAAATATGTAATAGCTCAGCCAGTTTATTTGCAGCCTGGAAAAAAAACAACACAGACCTGCTGTGTTCTATCTGTGGAGATGAGTGACAAGAAGATCCTTGTTGGAGAGGGACCGCAGAGACTGGCAGCAAGCCACATCTTTATTGAGACCTCAATACATTTGATCTCTGGGGTGTTTGGAAGGGCTTCTTTGTAATTGCATTGCGGGAGAATGTCTGGAATGTTTTTTTGGTGCTCCAGAAGAAGCTGATTTTGCACGGTAGCTATCAACCTTCTTGTGGGAATGAAAAGTTTCAGGTTCTGAGACTTTCATTGATACTTTTCTACGACCATGAGAGTGTCCTTGTTTCAAGTGAGTAGGAGTCATTGCATCTTTAGGAAGAGAGTTTTGCTTATGGTGCAAAATGCCTTTGGCTTGAAAACCAGAAGTAGCTGAAGGAACCACCAGATTTTGAGAAGAAGCTGCTTTCTGGAGGGATGCCCTAGAGCTTTGCTTTGTGGAGGGGAGTTCTTTTTTCCTCCGTACCTTTGCCCAAACTTTCCTGATGCATAACAAGAGCTTTTTCAGAATGCTGGGAGGCTTCTGTGGGAATTTGGATTGGATTGCCTCTGGGGCTGGCTTTCGAATTCGTGACTGGGGCTCCATTTTAGGTGAACGTGGAGAGGATCTAGGTGGTGTTGCTCTGGATGGCCTGGAACCAGCCCTGTGCCGTCTGACTCTCAGGTCAATTGCCTCTGTAGATCGCTGCCTGGCTTGGTGAGATGGCCTCTCTGGGGCCCATGATGGAGGTGCTGCTTCATGGGCATTCCTGCTTCTGCTCCTGCTCCTGCTTCTGCTCGGACTCCTCTCTCGCTTGGAGGGATGCTCTTTGCTGTGTTGCAACTTTGATGCATCCTTTCCTTGCACCAGACCCCATTTGCTGGCCTCATGCCTCTTGATCTTAAGGAGGAAGCCCAAATTCATGTAAACCTCCCCATCCTGTACACTTAGCCGTGGATAGACAAGGAGGCAAGGGCCGTGCTGTGGATGGGGATGCGGACAATAAGGAGCGCAGCGGCCACATAACAAGCAAACAGGATATTCTACACTTGGCCGGCTACGTCCATTCTCCAGACCTTTAGCCAAGCACATATGTAGATCCCGTGTAGCTTGCTCTGTATCCAATGATTCCACAATGGCATGGGCCAGACACTGAGACTTGGGGGGGCTCTTTGGAAGTTTGAGACTTTCCTGATGCAGTTCTACTTGTGTTTTGTGAACACAAGGCAATTCCAGTTGGTTCTGGCACATGAAAGTAGGGTCTAAGAATGATGTCCGAATAGGGCTACGGAGGTCTCCACTTTCTTTCGGGACTTCTGTCATGTCCTTAGCCCAGCTCAATCGGTGTATCTTTTGGTCAAGCATCAGGCTGATCTGAGTCTCTGCTGGCTTGTCCTTGGGACTGCCTGACCTTCCTGCACTTTCCTTAGAGGTACTTGGTCTTTTGCCACGAACTTCTTTCTCCTTTTTCTTGGGAGTCCTGGGTCTTCCAGGCTGCTTTGTCAACAGGCTCTGGTTTTGTGCTAGCAGGTTAAGTACCTCTTTTAACTCCTCCTTAGGGGTCATACTACTCAGATTTACATCTCTTGGTGCCTTGAGACTGCTGTGGCTAGTAGTATGACAGATGATGAATGGGGGAGGCAGCAAATCTTTGGGAGAAGGTTCAGGAGTCTGGGTGTGGGGTCCGGGGCTTCTTACCCTGACAGGTGGAGGTTTGGGTGAAGTTTGACGACCTTTGGGGCTAGTTGAAGGAGGTGTGCGGCTATGTGACCTTTGACCAATGGAGCGCTGCTGGCTTACCCAATGCACCACCTCATTTTGTGGGGTGATGCCAATCTGCACATTGTCTGGTGCCTTGAGATTGCTGTGGCTAGTAGTTTGACAGATAATGAATGGGGGAGGCAGCAAATCTTTTGGAGAAGATGCAGGAGTCTGGATGTGGGGCTTGGGGCTTTTTACTCTGACAGGTGGAGGCTTGTGTGGAGTGTGATGAGCTTTGGGACTAGTTGAAGGAGGTGTGTGGCCACGTGACCTTTGACCAATGGAGACCTGCTGACTTACCCATTGTACCACCTCATTTTGTGGGGTGATGCCAACCTGCACATTGGTGTCTCTGCTGGGCATCTGAGAGAATGGTGATGCTTCTTTCTGCCACTGTAATGGCGGTGCTTCCCTCTGCCAATATAATGGTGGTGCTTCCTTCTGCCAATATTGCCAATGTAATGGTGGTGCTTCCTTCTGCCAATGTAATGGTGGGGCTTCATTCTGCCAATATAATGGTGGGGCTTCCTTCTGCCAATGTAATGGTGGGGCTTCTTTCTGCCAGGGTAATGGTGGAGTTTCCTTCTGCCAATATAATGGTGGTGCTTCCTTCTGCCAGGGTAATGGTGGATCTTCCTTCTGCCAATGTAATGGTGGTGCGTCTTTCTCCCAATATAATGGTGGTGCTTCTTTCTCCCAATGTGATTGTGGTGTTTCCTTCTGCCAAGGTAATGGTGGTGCTTCCTTCTGCCAATGTTTCTTGTGGATGTGCCAGTCAAGCAGCTCCTGCTCTTTGTAGTCCAGAAAATAAATCCTGCCTCCAAATCTCTGAATATGGATAGGGCTGCTTCTGACTCTTGAAGGAACCCTTGGTGTCAGTTTGGTCAGAGATTCAGATGTTGGAGTACTTCTTCTCCGTTGCTTTGACTTCTGGTGCAGTTGGAAGTTCATTGGAGGATAAGAAGAAGATCTTTGGCGTGACTTCTGGAAACCAGTCTTGTAGGGACTGGTGACGTGCCCCTGCCACTCTGGAATTTCTTGTGAAGCAATGGGGACTGGGGGGGAGGGAGGTGTTCTAGACCGGCTATAGCAGACATCTCTGGTTGATGAATGGGCCCAGCTGTACAGAGAGGTGATGGAATCCAAAGTGGTGTTGGATGCAGAACGTGAGATTCTAAACGTGATGGGAGGTAGAAAAACAAAAAAATAATCAGAGCAGCCATTTCCCTGGAACTTAATTATATAGCATCCCATCCTTTGCTACAGTTTTGTTTTGTTTTATTTTATTTTATTTTATGTTTGTTTGTTTGTATCCCGACTTGTTTTTACAAGTAACTCAAGACGGTGAACATATCCAGCTATGAATTAACCAGCTCAGCTTCCAATAGCCCTGGCACTGGGGGATGGAGAAGTATGAAGCAGACAGGTATCATTCCCACATTGAAAAGATCTGTATTTATTCCAGCTAAAATATACTATATCCCCTACTTTTGGCAGGGCATGTTGAAGATGAGTCATTGGGAAGTCAGAGGGAAGACTCATACTCCAAATGCTATTCTCTTCCTCTGTCAGGATCAGCCCCTGCCTTATGTAGATGAACGCAGTTGCCTCAGGCCACAAAAGCTAGGCATTCAATAGTGATCTTCAGGGAATCTCAGTTAAAAGTATGTGCAAAACTTACAGGCCATAGGTCCTCTAGCTGTCACATTAAAAATAGATGGGTAACTTTGGGCTAGTCACTCTCTCTCAGCCAAATTCCCCTCATAGGAGTCTTGTGGGGAAAATAGAAGGAGGAAAGAGCATTAAGCATGCTTGCAGCCTTGAGTTGTATATGAAAAGGGGTGGAGCTTTGATCACATGGTTGTGGCCACCATCTTGACATTTTAAACTCTCCCTGCAGAACCGCTGCCTAAAATCTATGTGATACAGTATTGCTTTAAAAACTGGCAAATAGGGAGAGATGGGTAAAACTACCCAGAGGAGCATCTTTTCAGTTGTTGTACTTCAGTTTTTGGACTTCCCCAATTAAAATTATCGTTTGCTTCATTCCTGGTCCTTGAATATACTGTAGATCAGGGGTTCTCAACCTTGGCAACTTTAAGACTTGTGGACTTCAACTCCCAGAATTCCTCAGCCACAAGTCTTAAAGTTGCCAAGGTTGAGAACCCCTGCTGTAGATAGATACTAAAATCAGTTACAAATTTGCTGCCCATACCTAATATGGGGAGAAAGTGACTTCCATATCACTCATGACATAATTTATGTCATCCTTACCATGCAACATCACCCACTAGACCTGGCCATGGGTGATCTAGTAAATCCCAGGTCACAAATAAGGAACCAGAACCTTTTCTGCCCATATTTGGCTGAACTGGCTTAAGTGCATCTCTCATAGGAAATTGGTAAATATCAGCAACTCAATCAAAACTATAAAAAATTCTTCAGGACGTGGAAATTTACACATACAAAGAGGATGAATTGGCCCAAAGTGACAGGTAAACATACCTTTTAGGATGTGATATTACTCCTATTAATAAACAAAATATCTCTGATTTCTACCTCTAAGCCTCAATGTTCTAATCTGTGGGCCAGTGTTTCCCAATCTCAGCAACTTTAAGGTAAGGGGACTTAAATTCCTATAATTCCCCTAGTCAGCATACTGATTGATCTTAAAGTTGAGAAATATTGCTGTAGACATAGGTTACAATGGTCACAAAAATAAGATTTCTCTAGCTATAGTCTCTTTTTCCTTGCTCTATTTCACTAAGCTTTGAGGGAGAGAGATATATGTAAAATTATGAGGAAGGATAATAATACCACACCATCAACAGTGGTTCAGTACCATCCAAGAAGTGAGCCAGTCACTGACATGAATGAATACAGCATTGTTCATTGGTAAATTAGGACTGGCTTCCATTTGATGTATTGTGGAAGTCTTACGGTTTAGTCAACTTGTTGGTATAAGGGATAATTTGAGCTTTTCATATTGTTTGTATTTACCTTGTAAACCATATTTTAGGAAAGTTTGTAGATATGTAGGACATTTTTATTGGGGATGTTTTTATTTTTATTTTTGATTAACTCTTTGAAGGAAGAGCTATCTTAACATATTTTATCAAGGTTTACATTAAATTAACATATCTGAAAGCCTTTTTTATGGTTGGCTGGAAGAATGTACGTTTGCCTTTTTATCACAGTATCAAATGTTAATAAGAATCAAAAGCAGAAGAGGAAAAGAAATGTGAATATGCCTGCTAAGAAGACTACAGCATTATTTGCTGAAAAGAGATTCTCAAGCAAGGTGATTTTTGATTGATGTTAAACAGTCCAGAACTTTGAATTTCTTGAATAAAAGAGATATGCATCTAGCTGTTCTGACTTTTTCCATCACCATCTACTTATTCACTTAGAAAGCTTTAGCTTACTTTTATACTTACAAAACACTCCACTGCTTACTAGAAAGTGTCCACCATTGTTCCTGGACTAAGAAGTCTAGAGATCTGCTCAGCCTGCTCCCCCCCCTTGCACAGACCCTCGCTTTCAAGAAGTTCTATCAGAGTCTTACGGTTTACTGATACGTTGCATTTGCCAGGTGAGGTACTCAATTTTCTTATCCAAAACGCACAGAGTACGATAGAGGCTCAAATTGTTGCAGGACCTGACAAAAATGGGAGATAACCATATGCACATTAGGAAGTAATGCATCACATACTTATAACCAATCTCTTCTTGTTGACTTTTGCAATTTTTTTTTGGGGGGGGGGCAGAGCTAAGATGACAATGGGACATCCTTATGATATGTTATTTTTTATTTGTTTCTATAAATAGCCTTTCTTTTCCAGAAAGTTCATTTGGCTCCACTTCATTACAATTCTTTTACAGATATATTTTCCTTTTTTTCTCTGTTATTCTGCAATTGTTATCCCCTTCGCAGAGTTGATAAAATATGGAAGGCTACATATTTGAAAAAATAAAAAAATTGTATTGCAATCTTTCTTCAGTGTGAAAAAAAAATCCCTCAAGTATAATTCCTCTTGATACCTTGGTCTCTCCCTTCCCTCTGTGATCTTCTGAAGTCTCACTTTTAAGATCACTTATATTGCACCACAATTTTGGTTCAATGTCTGGCCAAGCCATAAATAAAACATTTGCATTAGGTGTGCCTGGCAAGTACCTATGGCAGTTAAATAAGCAAAGGAGGCCACATTATCTGGCAATACCATTTGTTCATATTCAAAAGAAAAACCATTAACTAATCCTTTTATCTTTTATGACCTTTTACTTTATGCTTTTCTTAATTATAGGTAGACCTTCCTTAGTCACCATCTCATGCAGTGACCATTCAAAGTAATGATGGCACGGAAAAAATAACTTTGCAATTAAGGTTCATGTTTATGATCTTTTCTGTCTCAGTCATGTGTTTAACATTATAGTCAGTTAGTATGCATTGTCCTGTGTCTGACCTCTTCTTTCCCACTCCATCCCAGAGTGGAGAGATTGGAGAGGAAGGGAATACAAGAGAGTAAGCAGGTACTTAATGGGGAATACATACAGTATCAAAGGCTAGTGTCAGCTGTTTGTCTAGAGTCTTTGTGGCTGGGAGCTACAAGCATGCTAAGTAAACAGACAGTATTAACTTATTCCTTTTGCTGTACTGAATATTCCCCATTGTGGGCTTGCTTACCCTCTTGTACATAACCCCACCCTACCCAATCTCTCCACTCTCTGAAGAGAAAAAAAAAGAAAAAAAAGACTCAGGCACACAAACAGGCAATCTCTTTAGATACTTTCTCACGTGCTGGACTTGTTTTTTTCTCTCTCCTCCCCATCCCACCTTGTAGAGAGATTGGAAATGGATTATAAGAGAGTAAGTAGATATATAGTGGGAAATACAGATAGAAAGGGCTGAAGTCATAAGTATATTGGGCAAACAGTTGACACTAGTGCGTATTTTTCAGTGTGTATTCCCCATTGTCTACCTATTGATATTTATTGTCATGCAATCCCTTCCTCTCCAATGAATGTAAATTCAAAAAATCAAATTTCCTTCTTGCTAATTACCCCAGTGCTTCCCCCTCCCTTTCCCTCAGGTCCCCCAACCAAGAAAGGTTGGGGACCTCTGGGTTAAAGAATCTCCCTTCCTGTTCTTTTTCCTTATAGCCCCAGAAAGATAGAGAAAAGCTCACATGTTTTTGCTCCCTGTTTGACACTTTATTAATAATTACCCAAATCCTGAAGTGAGAATTTAGTTTTGATTTCTTTCAATTTGTTAAATTCCCCATGAAAGTATAAAAATGCCCCTGTATCTGTCATATCAGAACAGAGATTCCTATTTAAGTTGGATAATTCTTCTCTTATTGTATCTCTTTCATAAAATGAAGATGATCATAAATACTATGAAGATAAGAGCAGCGTCTGAGCTGTCCTTCCAAACCACTTTACCAGAATTGTTGCACAACAGGTGCTGTTTCTAGGCAGAAATAATCTTATTTTTTGGAACATACATATAGCTTATTAAGAAAGATATAGAGTAGGTGGGGTTACTTACTTCTGTTCTGTGGCTGAGCTTATACCCTTTTTCCTCTCTGGATCTGTGCTTGTGACACTTAGTCTTTCCAAAGATGCTGCAGTGGGAGAGATAAAAAAGAAAGGTTGACTGCTCCAAGACACAACCTCCCAATTACTACAGCAATGTTTCTCACCCTTAATACATGGTAAATGTCTAGATGTTAACCCTCAGAATTCACAGCAAAGGGCATGTTGGCTGGGATTGCCAAGGCACCCCAGTGCTATAGGGCTAAAAAGAAAGAGAAAGTGAAATTAAGTGCATCACTTACCTATCCATGGTACTCTGTACTTGCTCTGCTTTTTGTTGCGGGCATCAGCCTATAGAAGAAGAAAAGAAACACACATAAGAATTGTTCTATAAAAATCTATGAAGAATTGTTTTTTTCTGTCCCAAAGAGTAGAATTACATATAACAATAGTAAATTTGAAGAGAGGGTACAGTTTGATTGAACATTAAAAGAATATTACGATTTGTCCATTTTGAGAACTTTAATAAGTGAAACAATTATTTAAAGGAATCATTTTTTTCATCACTGATGTTCTTAAAGCAGATATTGGACAACCATCTGTTGGGGATGTTCTACCACTGGATGGGGTTAGATTAGATGGTCTACAGCAGGGCTTTTCAACCTTTTCACAGATTGTACCACTTTTAGGACATGACAATATTTGAGTGCCACCAGTGCTTAGCAAGGTGTCAAAAACTTGATTATTAAAAAAAGGGGGGGATTTGGGGTTTTACTGATTAGATTCATTTGTTGTTCTAGAAATGGCTAGTTTATAATATGGAAAAGTAAAAAGTTGAGGTTTGATGTTAATGCTTCATTCTACTGAAACAGAGGAAGTCAGAAGTCAATGCCTTTTCTTTTCCCCTTTCCCCCCTCACTTTTCCCCCTTTCTTCCTCCCCACTGTGTCCTACTATTTTCTTTTGTATTTTATTCCATAATCTAATAAAATGTTACAAACCGTAAAAAAAAAGGAAAAAAGTACTGATTTTAATTTCTTCGGTGGCAGTTCCTTTGCCGAATCACTTTCCTTTTGTGCTAAGAAACGTATGATGAATTTATCCATATTTATTAATATGCACCACCACCAGCTGGTTGGTTGGCCCTTCTTCCACTCTCCCTCTCCTCTTCTTCCTCCCTGCCTTCTGAGCTCTCCTTCCACAGTGTAGTAATTTTGACAGACAGAAATTATATATAGTAGTCTTTAAAAACAGTCCTATTTTTCCACAATCCTTTATTATGGAAGATTATTGTAGTAACTGCAGGGAAAATCAGTCTCCTATACTATTTTAAAAATGAGGAAAACCCCATAAAAATGGCCTTCTCAGGTTTGCTTAGTGCTCATACGTAAGGAAGAAAGAAATTATATTGATTTGTTTAATCAGCTATTATTCTGTCATTCTCTGACCATAAGTCCAGATGAAACAAAAGCAGGATTTCAATCAAATCAATAATGATGTGGGAAATAACAAAGAGTGGATGGCACAAAAGAGCTTATCAAAATAAAGATGAAGGTGTACTTTCCTTCACAAAGGAATATGAAATGAATTTTTCCTGTGATTTCTTTTCTCTGAGCAGAGAAATATTTTTCTCAAGAAAAATGTGAGAATAGAACACTCTTTACAAATACCACTTCTTGTCTTTTTATTGTAGTCTAATTATTTCCATTTTTTTTAAAAAAGCTAAACAAGCTGCCACAAAAACAATAGAACCAACTCTCTCTCTTTCCCATTGCTTCCCAAATAATTCCAGAACTTTACACAATACAAAATATTTTTAATAGTTGGTTAAGATGTTCCAGATCCAGCCATCAAACATAGTGAAAATATACTCTATTATATCCATAAAATAGTTACATTATCTATCTGACAGAAAGCAAAGACTTATTTCATGAGACCAGATAGATAATGATCTGGGAAGTTATAGCTGAAGTTTAAGAGCCACCTTCTCCCTTAAAAGCTTGCTTATAGCTTAAAAAGATAAATGGATCTTTGTGAATTGAAGTAAACAAAGTATATGACAATAGTTTGTATTTAGTATTTAGTTAACAGCCTCTACCCTTCTTCATGACCACAGCCAAGACCAGCAATTTAAGCAACTTTCCATGAAGAATTTTGATCTTACCTGTATTTTTTTCACCTTTTTGAAGGCCCAGATAGTAGCAGGCACAAATAAAATGGCGACTAGCAGAAACAGCAGCAGGTGGCAGCAGTCTGAGATGACATTCTGCAGGACTGTCAGCATGGTGCTGGGGCCCAGCTGGTATATCAGCAGCTGCTCTGTCAGCCTCTAGGCTACAGGTTCTTAAGGCTTCCCATCTGAGGTCATGCTTGCATCACAAATGTCTTTTACAGTCCATTTTGCTTGGCTGAAGCCTTTTCTCTGATCAGCAGACAACATCAAAATTAACCACATTCAGCCCACTCAACTTATAAACAGTGAAGATGTTAGGTATATACACCAGTGCTGCTTATAGTCATTTGTTTATTTAGTCATTATTTTGACCTCACTTTTTTGCTATAAAATTCTAAGGCACAATCATCTCAACATAAACATGAACCCAACTCAGGCAAGAATTCAAAGCTAAGAATGAAATGTGTATCAATTACTTAGGTCTAGCAAATACTTTTAAAAATCATTTTCAAATGTTACTTGTATTAGACCTATAAAGTTTCATAAGATAGCTGCAAGCTTTTTGATTTACAAGGACTTTCCCCTTTCAATTCTTATTACTTGAATTAAAGCAAGGGGACGTGAAATACAGAAACAGAAGACAATAGAATTAGTTTGGTCTAGTGGTTAAGACACTAGATCACAAACCTGGAAAACATGTGTCCTAGTCACATTTTAGGCATGAAAGTTGGCTTTCCAGAAAATAGGAAGTAGTAGCATTAGGTATGTTCGCTGCCCTGAATGATTTTAAAAATAATAAAGGTGGAAAATAAATAAAATATTGCATTAGATATGTAGATCAACTTTTTCCAGCTTTATAGAACCAGCATGGCCACATTTATTGGAAATAATGGGAGGGCTTTTTTTTTTAATAGTGAAATACAAAACAACTGGCACCAACAGAAAGAAAAATAGAGAAATGGTGATTATTTATGAGTAACCCCCCCAAAAATATGGAGATTAAAACAAACATGACTAAAAAAGTAGTGATATACCATTCATTAAATCCTTAAGCTGATCAAACATGTTGCTTTATTTTCACTCTTAGAACACAGTAACTTTTTGAAGATTGATACAGACCCATATCCTGGATCCGTTCCTAAGAAACTTTCCTAATCAACTGGGTGAACGTTAGCCTCTGAAAGGCTGCTAATTCTGTCTGCCTCCTCAGAAGCAGAAAATTCTACCCTACTGGCATAAACGAATACTGTAATATTTAAAATAAAGAATGCACATTTGCAGGTTATCACAGGTAGAAAATAGTCACGTAGGCAAATACGTATCCAGCCCCGTTCAGTAGTGCTTGAGCCTGAGGTCACCCGTTTCTATATGCCCCCTTCAAAGTAAAGAAACATTTTTTTTCTCGTAAAGGGGTAAGATTTATATAAAACTACACAACAGAGAGTTTGATTTTTGTTTCGTTTAAGGAAGCAGACAACGAGGGAACATGGATGAGGGTCCCTGTACCTATCTTCAGGCTTATAGGGGTGAAACCCACCGTTGGAAAATTAACCTCTGTGTTGGATTTTCGGAAAGTTCTGCTTGTAACACTTATTATCTCTATGGGAACTATTGACTTACGTCATTTCCTGAGAGCCGCCTCGCTAGAACCGGAAGGCGCTGGCCGTTTGCGAAGCTTTCTGGCTTAAATTTCCGAAGCGGGTGAGAAGGAGCTTTCGTGTTGTGTTGCCATGGTTTTTTATTTCACGTCCAACGGTAAGAGTGGCCTGGCCACACTCACAACTCTTGTCAGATAAAAGTGGATGCTTATATCTGAAACCGCTTTCCCCCGGTTGATGTGACAGATTACAACTCTTCTTATCACCAGCCACTTCTGTTTCGGTTGGCGGATGATGGGTTTGTAGTCATCAGTCCAACCTATCCAGTGGCCTCGTTATCTCTGCATGATGTTCTCTTATCGCTGTACAACCCAGCCAGGGTAGGCTGGCCGTGCTATAGTTGATAAACAAGGTGAAGGTAACTCCACACCCCCGAGAGTTTAGGATATTTTACAAAAGGCAAATGGAAGATGAAACGAGAAGCATCTTCGCTCAGATTAATGTGGTGGGTTCATGAAAAGTGATCTTATTGTGAAGGAATACAACCAAGTGCTTGCTGATGATGCATTGATTGCCACCATTTATGAAAAGACATATTTTTTTATTACAACGTCTCAATTTGACATGCTTTCAGGAAAAAATGAAGAAAAATTGTACAATAAAAATCACATTAAACAGTTTAGTTAGATTCAAACCATAATTTAGCATAATGTATGAATCTAATCCATATCTTCTCAGCATTTGGCACACTTTTGTTGAAATGATTGCTTTGGATTTTGATTAACTAAGAAGAGGTAGAAATGGTGGGTACTGTTGTCTTATGTCCTGTTTGTGAGAACAAAATACTGTCCTAAGCTTTTGCCTTGCCTTGAACGACTTTTACAGTATTGTTTCTAGTATATTTTTTCTCCATTCTGGTAGTATACATTTCTACATATCATACTATTCTACTTTGGGTAAGCAGTGTTCTATAAAGTGGAGAAAAGGAGTAGAAAAATGTGAATAAATTGCAATTATTCACTTCACTTCACTTTCCTTAACAAATGCAGCTATATTTGATGACTATTAATTTTCAGGTCCATGTTTTTAATTGCACCATACAACCTGCACAAAACATTTGCTGGAAATCTTGTGGATTCTCAGCCAATAAACAGCAGCCTCTGCATGCAAATATATGCATATTCACATCCCTAACCTATATACTGTATCTCCAATGTCATCACACAAACTTCTTATAAAATTATTCAGAAGTACATTAAATAAGCAAACTGATTGTTGTTTTATATCCTCCTTAACGTTAAGCCATTTTTAAGCATTCCTTTTATTGTCAATTATGCTTTACTTTCAGCATAAACACTCATTCAACAATGCATTTTCAGCACCATATTAGCACAAAACATTTCATAATTCAAGTCTGTTTTCATTATACCTATAGAGTTTTCTCTATATAAGAAAAAGTACAATAAATATTATCACCTTCATATATTTTTCAGAGAATTGTTGTAATGCAGAATTTTTGCTCATTGTCATGTCTAGTATTCTGTCAATCAGAATTCTGCCAAACACTTTCTAAGACTCTCAAGCTAATTCCCCTTTTGTATTATTAATCTTTCTCTTTAAAAAGGGGAACATTAATGGATTTCCTCACAGGTGAGGTTTTCATACATATGTTATACACAACCATTTTATAAGCAAACCACATCCATATTTTATCATTTCTTCAACTGTACTGTTTATATCTGTAGCCTTACCATATCCAGCATTCTCAGAGCTTATATTCATTTCCGTCAGCTTTTTCCTAAACACTAACTTTTATGGAATTCTATTTGGCATAGTACTATAATTTCTAAAGCATTTCCTTCCAGCATTTCCTCACTTCAGTTTCTTCAAACATAATGTAATCACTTTCATTTTAATGCCATTCATTCATTATTTAGCACTTTTCACCCATTTCTGAAAGTTTTCTTTACCTCTTATAATCTTAATCATTCCTTGCTCTCTTTAACCATATTTTTCCACATTTTTTTTAGAATTTTCCTTTTCTCCTTAGATGTATAATAAAATATATTTCAGAGCCTATCTGAAAATAATACTGGGGCAACTGATGTTTTTAGACCAAAATTAATTATCCCTCAGCTGAGGAAAGCTTATAATGATTCTGACATTGGGATATGAATATGTTTAATAGTTTAATAGATAAATCTTTTGTGGAAACCTTGCATATCTGTGCATAGTGCAAAAATAACATGGGTTATTTTTTTCTTTTCTGTCCTTCAGTTATTCCTTCTGTTTATACAATTTATATGGGAAAAGACAAGTATGAAAGTAAGTAAAGCATTCCTTTGATTTGCATGAAAAAGTGTGATCTATTGATAATTTATGCATCTTCTGTAACAGCTCTTTTTAGCTTCCAATTGCTTGGGAATTCACTCACCCTTTCTTTTAGATACAGTAGCCACATTTTTTAGAATAGCAGGATGATTATTAGTTTTAGGAAATCAGTTCCCAAATCAATATTGATAAAATGTTGAATAAAAATATAAGCAGACCACTTACAACCACAATTGAGCCCAAAAATTCTGTTGCTAAGTGAGACAGTTGTTAAGTGAATTTTGCCCCATATTACGCCCTTTCTTGCCACAATTGTTAAGTGAATCTGGCTTTCCCATTGACTTTACTTGTCAGAAGGCCCTAAGGTGATCACATGACCCTGGGACACTGCAAGTGTCATAAATGTGAGTCAGTTGCCAAGCGTCTGAATTTTGATTACATGACCATGGGGATACTGCAATGATCGTAAGTCTGAAAAATGGTCATGTCACTTTTTTCAGTGCCACTGTAACTTTGAATAGTCACTAAATGAACTGTTTGTAAGTTGTAAGTCAACAAACTGTAGTTTCTGATGACTAATTACAGTAAATTACAAGAGTATGTTGTACAGGAAGGGTTTTTTTTTTAAGCTATGACATTTGTTACCAACATATAGTTGCCAATATAGATGGTTTTAAAGAGTGATTAAACAAATTATTAGAGCATTAAAATACAAGTCTGACAGTTTCAATGACAATTTATTGCCTCCATTATGAGAACCGTGCTGGGAGAGAAAATACCCCTGTGCTTATGTTTTACTTCCTAGTGACATCTACATGGCCCTCTTGGTCTAGATCAGGGGTAGGCAACCTTGGCTTTTTTATGATTTGTGGACTTCAACTCCCAGAATTCCTGAGCTAGCCAGTTGTCTACCCCTGGTCTAGATGGTTTGAATCAGTAAGATTATTTATTTACTTGGTTCCTTTGAGTCAGCATTAACTCCTGGCAACTGCCTGGACAAGTCCCTATAGTGTTTTTGGCAAGAGTGCAGAAGAGCCTTGCAGAAGATAATGGTTTTATTATCTTCAAGTATGTAGAATCATATTAAAAGAATTGCAGAAATAAGGGGAATACAGTATCGGGAAGTTGGAAAACCTTATAACACGTAACTCAATATTTGTTGAACCTTATTTATAGATTACTGGTGAAATATAACTTAGAATCTGGAAATGTCAAAGGCTGCATGATTAAATGGATACAAAATTTTAATGTAGTAATAACAATTTAATGGTAGGAACTTCAAAGGAAGAACATAAAATTTACTCTGAACATTTATTTGGAGTAAATTGGTATAAGATGTTTTGTTGTTGCTATATTAGTCCAATTTTGCTAGAGTGGATAAATCATTTTCAAAACATTATTGTTGGCTGGGGGGTTTATTGCCTTTTGTATTGCAGTTTTATTTCTGTAAGCCATCCAGAGTTATGGTGAGTGTGTTGGGCGGCCATATACATTTTCTCAACTAATAAATTTAAAAAGTTGTGAGGATATGCTTTGGCATCTGGAATAACTTTGTACCTTAAAAGTAAATCAGGCACAAGTTTCAACTCAAACTGGAAACCATTCTTAGATTATTATATACATGGGTTGGTACCATGTGAAAAATGGTTTATTTGTCCATAGAAATTATGTGCAATTTTGTGAGAGAGGTGCTTGAATCAGAATAGATTCTTCATAATATGGAGTAAACTTAACACAATGTTATGTAATTACATTTCCTGATTTATATTGTGTTAATCAAGGTTCTTGATATGGTACTTGATATACAGTTGATATATACAGTATTGATACAGTTGCCTCGCAGTGAGATGGGCAGCAAACAAATTTAATAATTAAAAAAGGAATTTAATAATATCAAAACATTTTGCATAATTCAGTGACACACTCCCCCGACCCCACCCCTCACAATTCTCAACCTTTTATCTTTAAACAGATGGAACATTTCTTTTTTTCTAGAGCAAATGTAGTAACTGTGAGTATAGGGTACAGTCTAAATTAGATTGTGTCAATTTTGTGGACAATCAAGTAAAAAAGCTAATGTAATTGATAAATTGGAACAAGAAATAAATTCAGTAGAAATTCAACTTCCAGATGCCTTATGTATCTTCCTCACCCACCAATATTTTCAAGATTGCTTTTATAAATGGATTTTGTAAAGTTCATTTTGAAAAGTGAAATTGCACTGTGTGCCTTGTGCAGAGATCAAACACCTGCTATGTAAAATAAATTGTACTCCTATTTATCTAAAATTTTTATTTTGAAATTGGAATTTGTAATAAAAAAACGCTGATATACAAATTAATATTTGAGTGCTACACTCACTTGGGCTTCTGTAACCCTGGTGTACAAAAATGCTTTTGTCAAGAACTACTTTTCCTCATGAGTTGAAAGCTACATGATGAGTAAGATTGAAGTATGCACTGGGTGAAGGCACAACTTAAAGTAGGGATACTTTTTTCTCTCTGACACTG